ATTTGTAAGACATGATCTCTCTCTCTCTCTCTCTCTCTGAAGATTTATTTTTGCATCTAATCATCACAAAATAACATCTTTTTTATTCTTCTTCTTGTGCCATATATCTAATGCAGGAGTCTCCCACACCTACAAAACTTATTGCACCTTTTTCACATGGCTTGTCAGAGTCACGACGATCAAAGTTAGCAGTGGAGAGGCACCAGGTTTTGTCTCTTTTTGTTTTGTTAAGCCTTAGCTTTTTATTTTGGAATTCACTGTAATCTTGTTAATGGCTGTAATTGTCATTATATTCGGTGATGTAATTGTGGTCAGCATGTTGCTTTGACATGTACAGGAGAACTATGAATTCCTATCAAGATGTGTCAAAGAAGATTTGGGTTTCAAAGACAGTAAACCATTGGCTGCTTGTATCATATACAAATGCCTGCTTCAGTGGCATGCCTTTGAGTCTGAGCGTACAGTTATTTTTGACCATATAATTGAGGGAATAAATGATGTTCTAAAGGTAATTTACGTTCTTCGATTGATTTTATTTGGCCTTATCAGTTTGTTTTTCCTTGATGGCTTGAACTGATGTTTTTACTATACATGAAATAAATTATGTGGAGAGCGACATTTGTAAAGGAAAATTAGGTGGAACTCTAAAAGCTATAAATTGTGGATATTTACATGTCTTTTAAGATTTTTTAGATTTTGAATAGACAACCTTGCATAATATTGTTGAATTTTTGAAAAGTTCGGTATGGCCATTGTTTCAGGTTGGGGATGAGAACATAACCTTGCCCTATTGGCTGTCAAATGCCTCAGCGCTTCTATGCCTCTTGCAGAGGAATTTACGGCCAAATGGTTTCACAGCAACTCAGCGTTCTGGGTCTTCTGGTTTAGCTATCAGGATTGCGCAAGTAAGTCATAGACTCACGTGTGGGCTTGTTGAGTATTTTCCTCTTTATCTCTTTAGTAAATATTTGACTTTTATATATCCCAGGATTTTGTTATCTTATTGCTAAATCAGATGTTTCGTAGAAATATTGTTATCTTTTGTAATATTGTAGTAACATGTAGTATTTAGTTTTGATTTTGGTGAGTATTTTCTTTGTTAGAAGTTGCATTTTATTATCACTTGTCATCAGTCAACATTACAAGTCAACGGCTAGAAAATCATACTTAACGGGGCTTTTTTTTGGGCTCTTAATTTGAGGCTGTAATTTGTGGGAGAGTGGCCCATTTGGGTCCAAAGAATTTTGTATTTGTTTGTTTTTTAAATCGATGCCATCTCAGTCCTACTGAATGAATAAATTTACCATTCTCTCTATAGAAGAGAAGCAAAGACAAAGGTGGTTTTTCAATGGAGAAAGTGCACATAGAAAAGGCTTGGGGGAAGTGCACATATAAAAGGGTCGGGGGAGGGGGAGGGCTTAGTGGTAGGGAGGGATGGGAGGACAGGCTAGGAAATGGTAGAATATTAAAAAGTTTGACTTAGATTTCCTTTGAACTTTATTGAATTGCAAATTCAATATATTTTGTGGTGTTTGCTTTTCTTTCAATATTCCACTATAATTTATTAAATGTCCTCTCCCCCACTTCCTTTCTCAGGGACTGACATCTCCTTTCAAATATATTGGCTATGAAGATGGTATGTCACATCTGGAAGCAAGATACCCGGCTATATTGTTCAAACAGCAGCTAACAGCTTGCGTAGAAAAGATCTTTGGCTTGATGCGTGACAGTTTGAAGAAGGAATTGGCTCCACTCTTGGGCTCATGCATTCAGGTGACTATTACTTAGTCTGATATGTTCAAGTATTCTAATTCAAATTATAGGTGCAATGTCACACTATCTGTCACCTATTATGAAAAATGGTCTGAGAATAGTGGTCCACAATGTTGTTTCCTGATTGTGTGGGACAATGAGGAAGCAGATGATTTGCATCTTCTTCCGCTCTACACATGATATACCATTGGGAACAGAGACTAACATTAGATATTTTCCTTTGAATCAAATCACAAGTATTGACCTACCATGAACAATTATGCAAGCAACGACCCATACCTCAGGTGGTACTTTTGCCTTCCAAGTTATAGAAGGGGGTTGGAATAAAAAAGGAGATGGATTGTTGCATAACTCACTCGCAAAAAAAAAATAATAAATAAATAAAAAATAAAATAAAAGACCATGGATTCCAGCTTTCCTTTTCTTTTAGCTGGCCATGGGAGCCTAATGTTTGATTTTACTCGCTAAATGCTATCTTTGGGCCACTCGATTGTGTTTCCTTTGTGTTTGATTGTCAGTTCTACATACGATTTTGTATGACATGTTACAAGTATTCATGACAATTTGTAAGGCACCCAAAGCTGCGCGAGTTCATGCTGGAAAGTCATCTAGATCACCTGGTAATGCTCCTCAGCAATTACCTGGGAGTCAGTGGGACAACATAATCAAATTTTTGGATACCCTTATGAGTCGGCTACGTGGAAATCATGTAAGTGGAACATTTTTTGGATTTGTTATGAGTTACTGTAAGTGTTTTGGCCTTGGACTCCCGAAGCATCAATTCCCATTTATTGATTTCGAAGCTTCCTATCTGAGATCATGTGATTGTTTGATATACTGAATCTTAATAAATATTCTGCAGTGCCCCTGATGGGTGAAAAACCATAATTACTTAGGCTTGAGTGTGTTTAAGAAGTGCAATACACTGTTATGTCTTTTCTTGACTTTTGCTATTATTTTCTGACCTAAACACTATACTTTCTTCAGGTACCTTCATTTTTTATTCGCAAGCTAATTACACAGGTCTTTTCTTTCATCAATATGTCACTTTTCAACAGGCAAGAGTTTATTGCTATTCCAGTTTTTCATTGCTAATAAAATAGCATTTGTAATGATTTATGTATTGACTCTACCTTTTCTTGCCCTGGGTAGTCTGCTGCTGCGACGTGAATGTTGCACATTTTCAAATGGTGAATATGTGAAATCAGGTCTAGCTGAACTTGAGAAATGGATTGTCAACACCGGAGAGGAGGCAAGTATAACTATCATGTTGGAAGTGTTTTCTGTTTTGATTGAATTTTATACATCTGTTTATCTGACTCTTTGTGAAATATAGTATGCAGGAACCTCTTGGCACGAGCTAAATTATATTAGACAAGCTGTTGGCTTTCTGGTATAAGCTAAAGCTGTTTTCTTTGATTTTTTAAAAATCTATAAGCTATGATAAGTGAGGAACCTTTTCTGATTTGTGCAATTGATGTAGGTAATACATCAGAAGAGGAAAAAATCTCTGGATGAAATTAGGCAGGATCTTTGTCCGGTATGATCCTCTTGCATATTTATTTGGCCTCAATTCTCTCTTTTTCCTGTTACTGGCTTCAGGAAAACCATTTTAAACTCCAAACTGAATTCATTGGCATTGTCATCAATGTACAGGCATTGACTGTCAGGCAAATCTATCGAATAAGTACTATGTACTGGGATGACAAATATGGCACTCAGAGTGTGTCCAATGAGGCATGTTTGCATATTCAGTTCCTTTATTGTTTCGTAAGTTCTGTGATTGATGCCCTATCAATTTCTGAACGTTATCTTGCTTTCCAGGTGGTTGCCCAAATGAGGGAGATTCTGAACAAAGACAACCAGAATCTAACCTCCAATTCATTCTTGTTGGATGATGATCTGAGGTAAGCTGCTTCTTTTAGGATAAATGATAGAAAGGGAAATACGTTTACCTTATGCTTTTCCTCAACCATTCTTAAATCTTAGGCTCATAGTTTTACATGCAGTTGCTTCCAATGTTGGAATTTTAGCTGCTTTCAATCTTTTAATCATGCAAAGTTCAATCCCATCTGCTTTAATTATGAAACTTCATTGAATTATTATTTTCATGCAAGAATTACAGATGTTTTTGATATTGTTCCTCATATCCACTTTCTCATTGCAGCATTCCATTCTCCACTGAAGATATTGATAAGGCAATTCCTCTAATCGATCCTTCAGATATCGAACTTCCGTCTTTTTTGTCTGCTTATTCTTGTGTGCAGTTTCTTGTCCGGCCGCAAAATTAAAGTCTGCTAATGTCAAAGGGTGTAAGCTTTCGTCGAATGGATGTAAATGGTAATGTCTTTTGTAGGCTTTCAAGTTCAAAATTAGCAGTGAGCTCTGGCACTATCCATCCAGAGAAGAAAATTGAGCAGTAGTCATCTAAATATTAAGATGGTGACTCGTTACATTGCTCAAATTTGTTAATCAATGTTGCAGGGGTTCATCAAGCTTGATGAATTCGTTTGCCTTTAGTGATTTGCAGGTTTAGGGCTGGTCATCTTATTGTAATTAGACTACATTACTCTATTTTTTTTTGGAGGAGCAATTGGTTAAGCTTAGCTTCTAGGGTGACACGTTGCACCCTTGAAATCATCATGTTTATGTTGTATCACAATGTTTCTGTAATTTTTGTTGCACATTTTAAAAGAGGATTAAGGAATTTGCCCAATTCTGGCTTCTTTTTTCAATTTTATGCCAAACAATAATATATCACAACTATTACTGTCAATTTTTTATTTTATTTAAAATAACCAATACAGAATTCGTGTAAATATGCATATTGTAAGATGTCTATTTTGATTAAACTATTCCATGATCTGTGAGGGGTTACGGTTTTTGATTTGTATGGTATATGGGTCATAGTCTTTTTAATTAGGAAACTTAACCATTAATCTTCACAAATCCATTTTTGTTTGTTTGCGGTTCGTCAAAAATTCACCACAATCTTCTATCAGAGTTCCTCTAAGACTCGGATCTTCAGAAACATTCATATAACAATGCCCGTGGCCTGCAATTTGGGCTTTTTTACTCGTTAAAAAATATGTACAAAAAAAACATCAGATTTCAAAGTTCTACCTTAACACTTTCAATGAAGATTAGACAAAGAAAACCATTTCCCGACAATACCATGGCAAGCAAACTCTGCTCGATGTAGGCAAGAAGATTGGCGGAAACTCAAGTTAGTGTTGCATATTTGGTTTCGTAGTAGAAAAACGAGAAGCACTCACAGTTGCAGCAGAAGTGGCACATTCTTGCAAATCAGCCAAGGAATATGACCTCCAAGCTGCGGAATTTCCCACTGGATGATAGGGCGGAAGAGCTCGCGGTGACATCGAAGTTGAGCTCGAATTCGAATCCTCACTTGTACTACTGGTGCTGGTTTCAGAGCAGCTGCTCAATTTAACAGCCAAAGCCAATGTGCTTCGACTTGTTGAGATGGGTCTCTTTGAAATCCCACCCCCATTGCTTCTCAGTGGAAAGCTTCGGTTCTTCTCCATCATGTTATTGGAGGCCAGTAGGTTCCTGCGTTTTCTGGTATATGCATTGTCCGGTTTTGCAAGGTCTTTGATGTTGGTAGAAGATGAAGCCTCTGCCAGACTCGTGAAGGACTTGGATTTGTAGTTATAGAATTTTGAGATCCCTCTCCTGCATCAAAAACCCATTTCATCAGTCAAAACGCCTAGAAAAACAAGGAAAAAAAAAAAAAAAAAAAAAAAAAAAAAAAAAAAAAAAAAAACAGCAAACAATTACAATGAACCCAAATTAGAAAACATCCTCAAAAACGACACGAAAATGACCTTTTGATTTAACCAATCAAGATAAACGTATAGATTGATTAATAAAATTGTAATTTTGTGTAATGAATCGTTTTCTTTCCTAAGATTTAGAGAAAACCAAAAGCAAAATCATTATAAAAAATAAAAATAAAAAACTAAAACAAAATTGCAGATAAGAAATTAAATGAATCTAGTTGAACTGCTGCTAACCTCATAGGTAAAACCTCCTCCAACGCGTTCATCATATCCAAAGGACCTTTATACGAGCTTTGAGCCTCATCATTCTCGCCGGCATCGCTCCCAGACTCATCATCGCTGTTATTCCCGATCGACGACGACGTCGTCGAAGAAACCGCAGCCTCGCCGGAGGGGACTCTCCGGCAATTTTCCGGCGAATCGAAGAGCAACCCACATGCGACCAACCCAGACGAGGGCGCGATGTCGATCCTGGCACTACTACTATCCAATGCGATCGACATGAATGCGTACTGTAACCGAAGCTGTATACGTCGTCGTCTTCGTGGTGAAGGTGAAGAATGTTTCAATGGAGATGAAGACGGATGGATCGATAAACGCTAGAAGATGTTGAAATTGTTGTTATCCAGAGAGCACCTAGATTTGGCAGAGAGACACATCGTACTTATCTTTATTTATTTTGTCGATCCATCTAATTATTTCTATTTATAGCTTTAGGGGATTTGTATTAACTGGATATGTATTGATTAATTAGTGTTGGATTAGATAGGATAATGGCCTTAATTAATTATTATTATTTTAATTAGAAAAATAATGATGGCACTGCACAGCCAGCGAAGAGTTAGGCCTTATCCTCTTGCCTTACCAACTGGATGAAACTTGCAATGTTTGTATAATGAGCTATCATCACCTCCTACGCATCCTATTCTACTCATAATGTTACCCACCCTTCTCTCCTACTCACCCCAGTGATTGATTGATGAATAAAACTTAATAGTTGGTGTGTCTTATTTGTTTTTTGGTTTTTTGGTTTTTTTTTGGCCATGGGTGTGACTTATTAATTAAGAAATGGATCCACCGTGAAGATCCAATGTGCTAACGTTATTTTCATTACAAATTTATAAATAAATCCAATCCTAGATATGTATTTATAAAAAAAATTCAAGCACTATTTAAACATAGAAACACACTAAAAATCAATCCCAAAATCAACAGTTGTATATTTTTTGGGTGTGTTTATAAATGGGTTTTGAGTGTGTGTAATGATGGGTTTTAGGTGTATTTATAAAGTGTTTTGAGTATTGAGTTTTTTTATAATTTCAGTCCCTATTTTGGATGTTTTAGTGAAACTCCCTATTTTCATAGGCTGAGATTTAAAGACCAGAGAAGATAAGGATAGAATACACACAGCGGATCAAAATGCAAGTCCGCCTCCCTGTGGGAATCAGAAACCTGGTGGCGCATCCGAGAATACCTGCCCGAGCGGCCCATAGTTTGTGCTGGCCACACCACGTGGCGTTTCTAGAAGCTTCCACGTTGAAGAATCTTGTCGGTCCTCGGGAGGGAGGGAGGGAGAACTTTAATGTTGGGTGGATGACGTGGCAACATGGAAAGCGATTGGTCCTGTTTTTCCTCCTCGTGAGTCGCGAGTCCGGTGAGGCTTATCCAAAATGAGTAGGAGTGGGACCCCACCACCACTCACCCACTTTCGGGACCAATTCGGATAAGATCTTTGTTTTCAAGCTTTGACGACTTCATTCTAACATTTTTAATTTTCGTTTAATTAATTTGTACTCGTACGAATTTGGATCTCTGATTTCTTCAAGTCTTAGCATTACCATCTTCAACCTAATTAAGATAATAAATGGTCGGCAACCACGTGGCATTGTGATAATCCAATGATCATAAATTAATCCTTTTTCTTTTTAATTTTTGGGAGAAAATATATTAGTTGAAATGACGACATTACTTATTTGGGCATCATTTTAGGAGTAAGGCCTCTGGCAGCTCTTTCACAAGAAGGTGAGCTTGAGTGGAGAAAAACTTATTTATTTTTTCATGATATACTTATTAAAGGAAAAGAGAGATAGAAAGAAATGAACAATGCAACGGAGTATGGAAGTATTTCTCAGTTCGAATCCCTAAAATGCAAAATGTCCACTCACTTCTGGGTTAATTGCGGAATAAGGAATTTCTATAAAAAGTTGTTGTAAGTGACAAATATTAACTTGTATTTTCAAGTGCAAACTACAACTTTTGTCGTGGCCCTTGGGAAATAAGGATTCAAATTAACTATGAACATAATTTGTATAGCAATAAACTTTTTCAATCGATCTATGCAATATCATTATGGCGTTTCCATTCATTAGTCTATCAAATATTGTGCCAACAAGTTTTCTTTCTTATTCTGTTTAATAAGGAAACTAATACTTTCACAAAAGCCAAAGAAAGATATATATATTCAACTTTCACCATTCTACACCCTTCTTTTTACAGCTTTCTTACAACAAATGGTACATTTGGGTTTTTTTTTTATTTTTTACGAAAGTTATATCAAAATCCCAAACTTCTTCCTATCAATGTAAATGTCATGCATGGGATTAGGATTTATGGTTTGGGACGGATATACGAGTCTTCAAGCTGCAAGCTTGGCTAGGGCTCCAACTGCGAGCGAATTCACGTAAGTGCATGGCTCAGTGTACGACGAAGCCCAACGTTTGTCCTCGAAGTTATCAAACCTGTCGGGCCCACCGACGATGGCCCCAGTCAGCTCATTAGGGTTTGGCACGTCCTTCTTGAACCAGTACACAAAGCTCATGGCGCAGCTGACGCCGTTACTTCCAGACGTTGGCACCGAAGCTCCTCTGTGGTGAGGCTGTTTGGGAGCGTTTGGTCCAAAGCCAACCATGTAGGATCTTCCTTTAGGGTTTTGGCCCAACAGATAGTCCATTTGCTTCTTGGCAAAGGTAGCTATGGCTACAGAGTCAAATTGTTTGCCTCCGCAGTTCACTTTTTGGTTGTGTTGGGCCAGCAGGTCGCTGTAGACGCTGAACAAGAAGGCAGTACCGGTGACGTATTGGGTGTTGGCGCCATCTCTCAGGTGGATCAAGCCGCCCGGTGACATTGTGATTTGGTTGTAGGGGCTGTCTGGGAGGTTTGAGCAAATGTAACTTTCTGCTTGGTTCTTGTAGTTTTCTAGGGTTTTTTCTCCTTTAAAGAACAGCTGCAATGTAATCAAACTCCGTTAATCGTAGTTTTTATAATGGATTATCGATAACGTGTGTTGCAATAATGATCGGTTGAGATGGTACAAATAGTTTTTTGTGTTTGATATTGGTTTAAATTAAGCACCTTGGTGAGAAGGATTTGGGCTCCGGCGTATTTAAGGTCCCAGCTAAACTCATTCACATTAGCGCTGATGGCTTCTTCTTGGATGTACTTTAGATACATTGGCTTCCCTGAGGCCATGTACAACCATGTTGCTGCCCACAATAGCTCATCCTATATTTGCAACATTCAATTTTTAATTACTTTTTTCAAAATCAAACAAAGTTCACTCATTATTTCAAAATCAAATTACTTTTTTTTTTAAAACAAAAACACCCACAAATTTAAAATTCATTCAATTTGTAGAGCGAGAGAGTTGAAGAAAATTACATTGTAGCCAGAGTAAGAACAGTAGAAAGGGCATTCTCCATCGTAGGTTCCTTTATGCGATTTAGCAAGTTGGAAAAGCTACACACACACACACAATAATAATATCACATATCATTAATTATATAACATAAAATTAATATAAAAATTAATTGGGATTGGAAAATAACGTACCAGTTTGGCTTTGTTGAGGAGGCGACGAGAATAAACACGATCAATGCTTCTATACACAATTGCAGAAGCAGCCATGGCAGCTGAGGTTTCAGCTGCAATTTCAGTTCCAGGTGTTTTCTCATTGATCTCCAACACAGTTCTTGGTGTCTGCATATCTTCTGGTCGAACCCAACATTGATGGTCCTGATTAGGGTCTCCCACCTTGAATAATTATCATAAATATATATAACAACACAAGTTAATTACCATAACATATTTTTGTACAAACTTTAAATACCAATTAATATAAATTCCCACCTGAACGTATAATCTTCCTTTTCGAGCACTGGCTTTTAGAAAGTAATCAGTGCCCCATTTTATGCCGGAGAGAACATTTTCCAGTTCCCCGGTAGCTTGAAGCTGTGTCTTGTAAAAGATGGCAGCCCACGACAGAGTTGTCACCGTGAAAGCCATCGGAAGACCGTACTTGACGTTGTCCCCGGCGTCATAGTATCCCCCAGAAAGGTCAACCTACATTAATCGAATGTTACATACGAATAATTCGAAGGGATTGTACATGTTGTGAGGAAGAATGTCATGTGACATGTGACGGTGTGACACGAAGATTTAATCCTTATAGAAAGAGAAAGAGAGACGAACATTTGCTTGTTTTCCGTCGTCGATGGCAGAGTCACCCCTCCATGCAAGTCTATTGTTGGTAGGGAGCTTCCCGGACCTTTGAGCCTCAAGGAAAATGATGGACTTGGTGAGGGCGTCCTTGTAATTTACATCACCATGAGCATGAACACAAAACACGAGTCCTTGAAAGATAGCAAGGCATGCCACAAGGGCTGCCCATGTTCTTATGGCCTGCGGACCCATATACCCTTTTGAAACCCAATTACAACTGAGAAAGCTGCAAAAAAGAAGGGATGAGATGAAAATTCCCCAATGCTGCCTACTTTTAATAATGAATTGAGAGAGGGAAAAAAAAAGGAAAGAAGGGAAAGGTTGTGTTTTCTGTTTAGGGATTGTATTTGTTTAGACAACAGGTAATTTATGAGGTGGTGCCTAAGTGGCTCTGGTTAATTGGTTTTGGTTTGTGATGGCGGGAAAGTTTAAGGGAGTAAATTAGCCAGGTAGAGGTTAGGGATTAAAGCTAATTATGTGTATGGTTGTGGGATTTGGGGTGAAGAGGGAGATTGTGGGGTTGGAATCAAACAATTTTGTTACCCTTTTCTATACTTGAATAAATGGTACACATTCAGGGAGTTTGGTTGGTTGGTTGGTTTGTTTTGCTAGCATTTAGAGAGAGGGCGTTTTTTTTTGGGTGTGTTTTGAGAAGCTCAAAATAGTGAAATGAGCAAGCATCCATTACAAGTCACTAGATTTGGTGAATTTCCTCTCTTCTTTTTTCTCCCCCTCCTTGAAATTTGCTCACTTCTTTTTGGGATTTACTTGGAATTCATAAGTTTCTACCTCTGAATTATATTTAACAGAAATAGATATCAGAAGGTTTATATAGAAAATGAATTTTGATGGGTACAATTATATAATAGAGTTATACAATTAATATGATCTACCAATTACCAACTAGTCAAATTAAATGATGTAACATGTTAGTGGCATCTTAAATTCCTTGTCAATTGGCATGGAGATATTGAATTCAACTCCTCAAAAAAAGGTATCATTGTTCTCTTCATGGGTGCAAAGGGACGCGGATTTTGTTGAATTCAAAGCCACATGTTTATTTCCTTTCGTATTTGATGGACGGCAAGCTTCCAAGTTTTCTAGAGGTCTGGTTTATAGCCCCATGGAGCATACCATGATGGACGGCCAAGTTTCACCAGGAGAAAAGAGATGTATCTCGGTCACTTTTCTTTTGTGAACAATCTTTAATTGGGACGTAAAGTTGTCCAATTAATATAGTGATATTTCTCTTCTCAATGTTGAAACTCGGTTCTCTAATCTCTTATTCGTTAAAAAAAATTTGTACGCGAAATCTCCAATTACATAGTCTTGCCAAAGCATACTTTTCTTGGCCTTTCGATGAACAGTTTAATATGATTTTTAATTAATTTCGTCAACGGGAGGGACCAGCTTGCTACTGGTGCTCTTAAACGTCCCTCTTGCTTTTGCACTACAGCAAGGGCCTGGGGCGGCCTCCAAATTTATATGAAGATTTGGTAGAAGGCTCTTAGCCTGACCCATTTTAGGCTACAAAGTTTAAGATTTGTATAGGACCCAAAAATTACGTGTGAATGTTTCAGTTGTGATGAGTGCCGCTGTAACACTGCGGGCGCACGCGCACAAAAAATAAAATAAATAAATGTTCCCCACAGAAATGGACTGAGTTGAAGAGACGAAGGAAACAAGAAGTTAATAATGAGATGTGTAACTGTTAAACCAAAAGATGTTCGTACGCAATTTATACTGACTTAAATAGTTTTTCAACTATTGCTTCAATATCATTTTGGTCCACCAACTAAAATTTTCATTTCAAACGTCCTTAAATTTTTTATTTTGTACTAAGATGGTCCATCCGTGACAGATTCCGTCACTTTTGATCACGTGATGGCCATGTGATTGAGTTTTGAATAGTATATGCGACTTTTTGAGAAACTCTATTGAAGGGTATGACTGAAATGGTCTCTCAACTATTGCTTCAATATCATTTTAGTCCACTAACTAAAATTTTCATTTGAACCGTTCTTCCACTTTTTTTTTGTATCAAGATGATCCTACCGTCAAAGTCCATCAATTTTATTGTTATTTATTTTTGTATTTATCTTATTTTAAAATTTTTAATTAATTTAAACAATAGAGAAAAATATATTACTTTTTAAGTCCATGTCATAAAAAAAAGAAAAAAAAAGCCATGTTGGTGGTGAGATTCAATTTTTTCAAATTTAAAATTATGTACAAGTTCCTGTAATAGTTTCCTTTAATTTTTAATTATTGTTTACACTTTTAAAAAATTTGTTTTTTTAAATTTATTTATTTATATTTATGTGATTTTAATTAATTTAAACAATAGAGAATTTTTTATTATTAATTGTTAGGCCAATCAAAAAAAAAAAAAAAAAAAAAAAAAAAAAAAAAAAAAAAAAGTGGCTAGTGAGATTCAATTTTTTAAAATTTTCTAAGTTTTATAATAGTTTTCCTTTAATTTTTAATTATATATTACTATTTTAATTCATAGAGACTTTTACTCCTCAATTTAACAATAAAATTGACAGACTTTAACAATAGGACCATCTTGATACAAAAAAATAGAGTTGAAGGACGTTTCAAATGAAAATTTTAGTTGGTAGACCAAAATGATGCTGGAGCAATAATTGGGGGACCATTTAGGTCATTAACCCTATACTTGCAGTTGCTACACTTGGAAGCTGATGATTTGTAGGGACTGCAAATCACCAGAAAATAGCTACAAAGAATGGCACACTAATAAGAAAACTATTCTAAGAGGCTGCGAGACCCCAGCCAAGCCTTAAATCTTTTGCAGCAAGCTCACTGATTGCCCTTGTAATGCTTTTCGGCCACATTGACGTCTTTGACATCCGACACTGTTGAGCTTGAGTGCACTCCAATGGATAATACAGCTAAGCAGCAGGCAGTTCTGCCGCATCAACAACCACTTGCCCTTTTAAAAAAGTGAGGCAATGGAGACAAATGAACCATTTCAGCAACGTCTAATAATATTAGCAACATTTCTGCCAATCTCTTCTTTACTTTGCTCCGACACGGGTAGATCTCCGAGGTACATGTCAAAGAAAGCCCCTGAAAGAATAATTGTGCATTAGAAATATATCCCCCACAAAAGTATACGATTGGATTCTCTTCACCAATTTCATGGAGACATGATGAGATATAAAACTCTTAAGGAGAATTTCGAAATAAAACAGATTGTTCAAAAGGACAATTCACTTACTGCACAGATCCTTGCTGTGGACTGCTCCAATCTGATTACCTTCAACTGCAAAATTTCATACAAAACTCTAAGCAAACAAAACCTTCAACTGGTAAATAGAGCATTAGAAGCATACAGAAAAGAGAAGTGAAGAGAATTGGGAAGCGGGGGAGGGTTCTGGGGTCTTTTTAAGCTGTATACTTTGTGCTCAAATTGCCATCATGGTTAAGCCATGACAGATGTATTATTAGCATAAACCATATATAATATTTCAAAGCAATCCCCACTCACTTTTGGTAATTAATTTTCCATCAGCTGTTCGTTGAAAATCAATCGTTGTTCCCTGAAATATTCTAAAAAGTTAATGTAATTTGGTGATCACTTAATATAAAAAAGAAATGCAAGAGTAATATAGTTTACCGCTGGCAACGGAATATCTTGTGTAAAGTTTGAACCGAATGTTGTTATGCAATGGAAGTCAGTCTCTGGGTTTGTCTGAAGAAAAAAAAGGTTAAAAAAATGAAAAGAATTAGCGAATACTAGATCAGAAACACAAAACAGCGATTCTATAAAGGGAGATGATTTACCTTCACCAATCGGGCTCGAAGGGATTTCTCAAAGGCACTGCATCAAGTATAATCCAGAGGACACAAATGAGAATGAATAAAACTAAATTTCAATTTTCAACATTGTCGTAACATTTCTAGGATACGTAGTGAGAAAGGAACAAGGCTAACTTAGCTCAAACTAAGCTTAGGTAACATGGTTATTAACTTGCACAATCAGTTTTTGGTTTCAGGTGATAAATGAGTTAAGAACTAGTAAAAAATTATAGCTCGTACATCTAAAGCCTATATTTATCCCACAGCATAGCTGGTTAAGCCATCCAAGTTCAGCTCAACTCACAAAATTTCTCGCCAACACACCACCCATTTCAATGTGAGCCTACCCAAACCACTACAAAACTTGGAGCTAACCAAGATCATATCATAACAATGATGATATCTGAAACAGGCGAATATATGCACAATGAGCTAACCTAGCTATGAATATTTAAGAACAGTAATCTTCTATCAGTAAAAGCTTGAAGCCAAGAAGATTATATCAAAACGAAAAAAGCCTCAAGATTGTCTATGTCCCAATTAAAATAGGGACATCCAAACCCATATAAATATCCAAGGGGATGCTGAGACAGAAATATAACTTACTCTCTCACAGTATTGATTTTCATCCCATTGCAACTAACCACAAGCCTAACTGTCATATCAATATCTGCCCTGTAGGCAAAAAAGTAGCAGAAAGTTGATCAAAACCAGAAACTTAGCAGCAGATCCATGAAAACTAATTGAACAACTTGGGCAATACGGGACTCATATGCCAACACAAGCTTGGAAAGAAATTAGAAAGCAAAAAAAAGGATTTAGCATGTACTGATTATATCGATCTTAATTCACCACTAAAATATGTCTGAGAAACATATGGAATTACTCCATGTAGCATGATAGTTGTCCATACCTGAGAAGATCCTCATAAAAATCATGGCGTTTGTTTAGTTCGTCTACTGAAATAGAAGCATATTTTGACCCCAATTTCTTGCAAACAGAGTTAGGATGAACATCTATATAGAAATAATAGATAAATAAATAAGAGAGCAAATAAGATAATGGATGTAAAAAATATTAGACTGAAGTAACAAAGAAATACTAAAAACTTACAAAAACCAAACGCATAGATCTTCAGAGATTTTATTTTAATTATTTTCATTGTTCTGGATCCAGTTCCCACAAGGACCTGCAATGGTAAAATGTCAATATTAAATTGAGGAGCTGTGAACATACACCCAAATCAAGAAGAAGAAAAGTACAAACCCCAACCCTTTTTAAAAAAAAATTATTATTAAAAAAAAACAAAAACAAAAAACAAAAAGCAAAAAAAAAAAGGACTCCAAGTGGTAACCTCTGAACTTAAACTGGAATTATTATTTCCTGTTAAAATATTGTCCAAGATTATAGGAAACTCAATGCCAGTTCTAGGCTCCACTGCATGTCTTCTCCAGTTCAAGTCAGGAAATGGCAATCCTGTGCATCCTTGATGTCCAACCTCACACGGCCTTTGATCCATGGTATCAGTATTCTCCAATGGAACAGCTAGTGCATTTGAAGAACTGGTAGCAATTAAACAAAAAGAAGAAGAAGATTTTGCTGATCAACATCAAAAGTAGAACCCATGGGAAATTTTGCACTTGAATCTACTCCCTTGTGAATGGTTTAAAGACTTACAAGCTGCCAAAAGGTGGTACAAGTCCAGAAGCTAACGAGAGCATGGGATGTGAACATAGCTTTTCAGCTTCTCTTTGTAGGAATTGCATTACAAAAGCCGAAATCTTACCAAAAACCACTGAGTTAGCAGATTCTCCTTTTGATGCAAAACCGAAGTGAAATCCTATAAGATTTTGTCGACCAGAAGTAATAAGTTTAACATGTGAAGATCTGGAGCATCCGGGTTGAGAACCATGCCAATTACCCTCCATCTCTCTAGTAGCATTTGTATTGGGCCCACAAGAGAAGAAACATAGTAAAGCACCAGCAAGCTTAGAAATGTGATTAAATGCTCCTTCGAGAGCTAACCTTCCAGGGACATGAAAGTATCTAGACTGGTGCAATGAATTGTCCATAAACGAACCGATCTGTGAAAACATATGACCCCGAAAATTATGCAAAATGAGAGGCTCAACAGGAAAGTTGTATGGAGACCCTTCATCAAGATCCATGAACCCAAACCGCTTAATCTTCATGTTTTTCTATGTCCTATAATTCTACCTGAATGGCACTTAAACCTTCCTCAACAGAAAATTTGAGTTTAAGACATAAATCAAGACAAATACGATACGATACACCTGCAAAAAGTCACAATGACAAAGGTTCTGTCATTCAATTCAGAAAACGCAAAAATAAAAACATGCTTACATAACAACGCTGTAAGACAGCATCATGAACACAACATGAAATAGAAATGTTAGTGCAGCTTATGAACGTTGCTTTTGAGGTAAAATTACAGCTTAAAGATATGCTAAATCCATTAAATATTGATTGGTATGATGCAAAGAATTTGATATTAATGGGGGTAAAATTCGTGCTTCAAGACCTAAATTCAATGCCACATAACACAGACAGAATTACCATTGTTAATTCGTTAACTTCCTAAACATTAAACTCAAAATTACATGATCATGCAACATTCCTCTACTCAAAATTATAATCAAATGTTAATTGGTGTCTCTTTTTATTGTTCTTCAAAATAATCAAAGAATATTGAAAAGGAATATAGGAAAGAGAGGAAATGCAAGAAAATGGATTTCGAAAGCACTTTTCTTTGGCATTCTTTTTTGCTTTCTTTTCCGTTTCCGTTTCCCCATTATTCCCAAGAACCAAACAGAAAATAAAAAGCACCTGGAGAAAAGAAGAGAAACCAAGAAAAGAACCTGGGATTGCAAATTTGTAACGAGCGAGCTTCTGGGTCGAGATCAATTGGTTACAATTTGATCTTCACTGTTTCTTCTGCATTAAAAAGTTCGGTTTTTTCCGCGTAATTCAGGAAGAAAGTGGACGAAAGAGAAAGGAATATGCTTCGGGTACGAAACGGGAACAAGTCACAGTCGGTTCAAAAGCTTTCTCGGGTCAAAAATGGAAAAACAGAAAAGAAAAAATATTTTCGGCAGAAATAAAACTGGCTTTTCTCATTTTCTGTGACCTTTTATTAGGGTAAAAGCTTTTTTCGCGTTTTTTCTATAAACAAAAAAGTTGGCGCATTTTTTTTCCCGGTGGACGGCAAATAAACGTTTCAGATTCTGAAATGACGATTATATCCTTGAGTTTTATGTGTCAATATTGTCTTCCCCCTGTGGCTGTCTTTTTCGTACACGTGTTTTCAAATCCCAATCGGCAGGGTTGACGAGATCCTTCTTTTAATAAAAGGGAATAAAAGTAGCTCCAAAAAAAAAGGGAACAGAAGTATATCGCCTGCAGTGTATTTCCCATGCTTTTACCGGGGAAAATAATAATTAGAATTTTCTCTGTTTTTCGTGGTGAGTTTATTTCTGTTGAGTCTTTGACCAACCAACCAGTTAGAATTATTTGGTCGGAAAATGCCTGCTGCAGTGTCCTAAAATCATATGATCTTTGACAAGTAATACATAAACATATGACAGCCAACTTTGTCGCTAATTTTTTTATAAAAAAAATATGACAGCCGACTTTGTCTTGTACTTGTTAGTTCATTCACCAACTTATTAGATCAATGTCATCCGCTAATGTCTTTACCAAAAAAATAAAGAACCATGAAATCATCGTTCTTGAAAGGCTTAACAATCATTTTATATATTATAAAATGGCTTTTCACAAATAAGCCTGTCTTGAAACTCACAAGTGGAACAGGATTTAATTGAAATTAAATGCTAAAAATCAAGGAATCTGAGAGCTCAAAATGTGATGTTCTTCAAAATACAATCTTTTGTTGGCCCCAAAAACTGGTCCCTGGTCACAATAAACCGGCCTCAAACAGATTTCTCCGTCTCAACGTCTCATCCACAAGCTTGAAAGTCTTCTTCACAAGCTTTTGATCAAGGGCAGTGGTTCTATAGATCTTAAACACCCGGTCCACACGATCCGGGGTCGTGCTCTGAAAGTACAATTCCTCAAATTTTTTCTTCACAAACCTGAATGCAAAATGTTTTAGCAAAGTTCAATTTTCTTTTTCTAAAAAGATATGTGCAATGGTTATCAATGTATGCAAATATGCAAACAGTTAAAACAGATTGGAGGTTCAGGAAAACAACAAAGTAGGTCACACTAATAATTGAGGTCTTTATTATGAAAATGGTTGCAAGTTGGTGAAGCTTTCAGCCAGCTATAGGCCTTCATATTTCTGCGACAGTTTGCACGAAAACAGTTTGGCAGCATTTTGGAGGTTTGCTATAGCTAAATACGTGTACTCTTTAGTAGGGTTTCTTCCTTTCATCCAAAGCAAAGGACCACAAAGATATATATGCTTACTCATATGCATGTTCAATCTCTTGCTTTCCCGTTGAAACTGGCTGGTAATCTTTGAACCACTCACACACGTTAAGTGGCACCTACACATTTAAATATCAACAACCCATACAGTTGTTAGTTAGTTGCCACTGAATGAAAAACCGTACACTAATTTACTAGCTCTTACATTTAGAACCTTCTTCTCGAATATATCGAACTTGTTTAAAAACAGCATGAAGGAAGTTTTCTGCACCCGAAGAAATAAAATAATATATATTAAAGAGGACATAGATGGAAAAGAGTCAGCTTGGGATAGATGAAGAAATCTGTGTGGCCGCACATGCGACACACGAGCACAAAAACACAGAAGAAAAGAAAACCTCAAAACATGGTTGCTTCAGGACCCAGTCAAAAAGCTCCTTTGTCTCCATCATCCTATTCTTACTTTCATCCTCAAAGAGTGTTTGATCATACCTGAAACACAATGTCAATCAAGACTACTTCAGTACACACACGCACACACATATATATAAAGGAATGATATCCATGATCAAAACATGGTAAGATATCTTTGAAGAGAATGATAGATGTAAATGAAAGCAATGGTGATCTTACTCGCTAACAGCAGCACAAAATATTACAGCTGTAACACCTTCAAATAGATGGATCCATTTCCTCCTCTCATTTCTCTGGCCTCCAACATCGAAGAGTCTATATACTTCACCACTTTTCTTACTTTCTCCAACAGGGCTGCAAAATCATAGTAATCACTGAGTCGTTTGTTTGAAAATTCAACCATTCTATACACGAGTTGCACAACCATAGAAGTCTCATCAAAAGAAATGCATCATACTAAAATGTGCACAGTGCATAAGAAAATCATGAACTAAATTAAATTTTAAGGGCATCCTTAAATGACTTTTAGTTCGAAAATCAGCTGAGTTAGAACAAATAAGTGGCATGGTGAGAAATAAGAAGAAATGTATAAACGAAACTGCAGAAAACTGAAAGAAGATTTACATTTTAGCCTTTTGTGGACACAGGAAAAAAATAATAATTTAAACAGTACAAGTATAAAGAAAATGTCAAAGTTCCAAGAAAAAGTCATGTTGCACCTTATTTTTCAAAGAAAAATAATTACCTGAACTGGATCTCTACAACACCAGTAGTACGAACTCTGGCATAAAGAACATCCTCCTACAATACCACAAAATGCTTACTTTTGAAAGAGCTATAAATTTGTAACTTTTCCACATTAATGTAAGAAGTTTATAAAGGAACCAGCTAGGAACCAACACATATATAATAAATATTCTAGTACCTTATTCAATTAAGGAAATAATCAGTTATAATTGTGAACTTTAGTTACCTTGGTTGGAATGTAATTTGCGTCAGCTAATCTTTGAAGATTTTCCATGAAATAGTTGGCACAATCAGGAACTTGGAGTTCATTACCACGGGCATATGTTTCCTACAATTGTAGAGTACGGGTCCTTCACTTAGAGCATTGGGTAAAAGACAGAAGCAGATGTGCTAAATAACTGGATTCAAAGCACTAGGATTGACGTCAAACAATTGCGTATGTCAGTTACATTAAGTAACAGCTACCTGAATTGCAGCATCTTTCCAAAGAGTTTCTATATCCTGTGCAAGCTCTTTTGTGAGACGTGGATAATCCAATCTGCCACCAATTTTTGATAGTTTCTCTCCAATTTCCTGATAAAGAATGAAAAGTTTACTAAACATACATGCAGTTTTGTTTTAGCAATGGATTGAGCAAGCCAGAAGCTTGAAAGAACAGAAAATTCATACAGTGATTTTAAAAACAAATCATATGTTAAAGAGCAGTTCAACCAAATTCCTTCAACTAATGTCAGCTAAATTTAAAAACAAAAACCAGAGAAGGCAATGTAATAGGCAACGAAAGGATGAGGTCAAACCTTATTTTCACTGGATATCTCATACGTTTCTCTGTTATTCTGAGCAAGTTCCTTTGACCCGTCATACAATATCTATTCAACCACATCATACATACATTAAATTGAAGAATTCAATTCAATTCAGGTTCTTTTGCTCTGAATATGAGTGTTTGCAAGAAAGCTATATTTTCTTCTATAGAGAGCATGCACTAATATTCCTTGTACCATGCAGAAAGGGAAATAACCAACACACCCTTTCACGTATTGCGTACTTTTATGGTCTGATACACATTGGCATGGATGACTGAGATGTAGCTCTTGAGCTCTGCCTCATCAAATCCAGTTTGAAACAGAAGCTTTATCTGCAAATGGTTTGTGTGTAACAAAAATATAAATACATGCATTGCTAGTATAAATGATAATACTTAAATAGAGAAACGTATACAACGTCTTACCTGCTTAAAAATTGTGGATTTCCCCGACTCACCAGCACCTTAAAACAATAAATTGATCTCAGTATTGTGGAATTGATAACTATCTCTAAATATGGTTAAAATTAAAATTATAACTGCAATTTTTGAAATGAACAATGTATAAATGCATCAGGCGCTATGCAAACAGTTTAATATCTGACAAGGAAATGCATAATAAAACACTATTTGTTACTTCCATGGAATTTGGAAGAATCACCACATAAACAGTACAAGACACCTATATGCTGCCGTCAGTCATAAAAGTGAAGGTTTGCAACCCTAGGAAGCTCTAACTATTGCAACCCTAAGAAGCTCTAACTATTGCAACCCTAAGAAGCTCTAACTATTATGAATGTGATTTTGTGTAAACCATAGAAGGTAAAAAGAAACCCATTATATTTTTGTACCAAGTAGAAGAAGTTTCTGGATATGCTTTTCAGCCTTCGTTTCTTGTTCAATTCGCCTTTCAATTTCTGCAGTCTGGAAATGCATGCATTGACAATAAATTAGAGCCCGATGGTAAATGTAAAGCTTCTCTAATAACACTTAATCAATGGCATTACAAAGTTTTTATTATATCATGCAGAACTCACCTGGGCATTCTCTTCGTTGTCCGCTTCATTGTAATGCTTGTTTCTGCTGCAGAGTAAACCCATATTTTCTATTACAATAGATAGCATAGAAGATGCACAAGTCAGCTCCACACCGTGTTAAATGTATCTTCAATTCCCTTCTGTAAAGTTCATACCAAATGGACCTAATCACAAAGCTAGATGTCAGGGGGCACTATAGAACCTGACCTCAATGACTTCAAACAAACCATTACAATTAAGACACAATGCCACATCAATACCTAAAATTAAAAAGAACCCATACAACCACTCGGCCATACATTCGTTTCGTGATTTTAAGATGGAATTCTAGTGAGACTTAAGTTAGGCAAAGCAGAAAAAGATGGTCCAGACCACAATGTTAAAGATAATTAGTGAGAAAATATTAACTTCAGGTTTGTATACTGATAATAACTATATATTTCCTTGTTAAGAATTTAGCTGGGCACCATGGCCTGCATAAACAAACTAAAAAATTACCCATCAGCTAAAGAAATTCTTATTTTTCACAAAAATGAAGATGAAAAAGAAAAGGTAACCCATTAAAGAACACTCACTGCAAAGACAACCCAAAATGCTATTCAATCAAACCAACTAATAAAATAACAAAAAGGGAACTTCTTGATCTAGTGCTACGAGATCAACAGCAGAGATCTGTTACTAAAAAACTAAAAACAAAAGAAGAAGAAGAAGAAGAAGAATAGCAAATTTAAGTAAGAAGCTTAAGTGAGCTACCTGAAAAGAAACGAAATGGCCTTTCTGGGCAAGTGATAGAGCAGTAGATTGAGCTGAATCGCCGAATATGAAGAAGCCTAAAGAGTTGCTCTGCTTTGTATGTGTGTTTAACGTGGGATAATGGTTTGTTTTGGTGTGTATAAATAAAACCCAAAAAAAAAAAAAAAAAAAAAAAAAAAAAAAAAAAAAAAAAAAAGAAACTGGAATGGAAAAATGAATGAATGTTTTTTGGTTTGTATATATAATGTATGAATAGTTATGAGGAAGCGAAATGGGTATCGAAGTGTTGGCTAAATCTGGAAAGAAAGAAAAACAAAAGAAACAGCGCCGAAAGCTGCAAAGCCTGTTCTTCTTGTTGATTCTTCTCTCTTCATTTCAGTCAAAGTTAGAAAAGACAGACCCCAATTAAAAATTGCTTTAATATATATAATTAAAATTATAGCAACAAAAAAAAGGTGTATTTATTTGTAATTTTCGTAAAATAGTGATATTATCTTCTTGGGACAATACACGGTCTCTATATACGCTGTTGTTGTTGTTGACTGGCCCTCTTCCTCTTTCTCTTTCTCTTTCTCTTTCTCTGTGTATAATATTTTAGAAGTTTGGAGAGGACAAGCTTGCCGGTTGCCACCAAATGGTGGGTCATATGGAAGAATGCTTCATGCTTTTGCGAGTCCCATCTTTGTCCTTTAGAAAGATTTGTAATGATATTTTAACATGCCAGCCTTTTCCATCACATTAATCCAACTTTTTCTTTCTTTTCTTTCTCTTTGCTCTTTAGGGTTTAACTATGCACGCATTTCACTATTATGTAATGAGTTTCTCGCATTTATTATAAAGATTGACACATTTTTATGATAGAGAGTTGAACTGTTTTAAGTTCAGATTCACGGCATAACAAAAGTTTTATATTCATACAATAAAATTAAGGATCGAGTAACTGAGTATTCAACATATGAGTAGGTTTAGCAAAATTTTTGAATGACTTGTTATTCAATAAAAGATTATCTCTACATGAGTAAACTCGAGACGAATAGCTAAGAAATTAGAAATCTACGTGTAAAATAAATAATGCAAAATTATTGCCAAAAGTTTGTAGGTTTACATGCACTTACCCTAATAAAATGGTGCATGCATGTTTCGCAAGTCAAACCTTGGTTTGAAATTGAACTTGTTGCCATTTTCGTACTCATAACCGACCATGTGGAATATCGGCCACGGAACGTAATTTTCCATTGATTTCCTTGTACTTTCCAATTTTTGGTTGGTAGTTTTCATTTCCTGTCAAATTCCAGTGATAAATTTGAAGTTGAAATCTCAATTTATCTCATCCAAAATGTCGTTATTGACCCAAAAGAAAATGATGGAATTATACATCCGCGAGCCGAAGGTGTAGCCCAAAAAAGTTGTTGGGCTCGTTGAATACAATTCCATTGAGTCAAAACAAACGTCGGCTAGCTATTGCCTTCGGCTTCGACGTTTGCTGGACCTTCTATTCAGTCCAAAACGCGGGTTTCCTTGCTGGCAGCCCAAGTATTTACTTAACAACCTATACGACATGTCGTATGCCATCGCTTAATTATTAAAACAAAAAACAAAAAACAAATAAAAGAGCCAGTTAAGTGAAGCATATATATATATATATATATATATATATATTTTGTTGGTTTGGTCTGGTAAACATATCATATATAACAGTTTAATTAAATACTGGAGACCCAATTAATTAGAAAATAAAAAAGATAGTGATCACTGATCAGGAGTCGTCGCACAAGAAGCTTTCTACAATGTTGTTGAATTGTATGGGATTTTCAACTTGGGGTACATGCGATGTGTTCTTTATCACTTCCAGTCTTGTTTTGGGTCCAAGAAGCCTGCAATATTAATTCACAAAACCAAGCACCTTGATGTTAATTTCTCACCAGACCAAACAAATATATAACTTCACGTAATTCCAATATTATATAATTAGTATTTATATACGGTCAATTATATGCTTGTGTGTACAATGAAAAACAAACAAATTGTTTTAACATCGAGGAAAAGTTGCATAAGTAGGTTAGACTAGTTGACTAGAGCAGTAAATTTGTCCCCTTGCACTTAACTTCGAGTTCATCTCCCAAAAATTAGATTAATTGAGAAGAACGAGGAAAATGTTTGGAATTTAATTTAATCAATTATTAGCTATTAATTAGCATAAGTCATGATCTCTTGAACTACAGGGGTCCAAGAGATTCGTGATCATTCACCGTTGGATGTAAATTCAACGGTTCATTTACTTTTGCACTCATTTTAAGAAACTTTTTTGAACCATTGGATTAATATCTAACAGTGAGTGACCACAATCTCTATGGTCCAAGAGATCAGGATTGTAATTAGCATATAGGAAAATAAAAGTGAATATTGAGTTGTATGGAAATTGGGGTACATACTCCTTGAGTTCGGTAGCCATCTCCAAAGGAAAGATCTGGTCTTTATCTCCCCATACGATCAAAACCTCCTACAGCCCAAAATATTGCAATAAATTAATATACATAAATGATTTTTCAATGAAATGATAATAATAATAATAATAATAATAATACCTTGTTAGGAAGAGGAGATAGGTTTAATGTGTCATCTCGTCCAAGTGTGAGTCCCTTTAGCAGCTCCATCTTTTCCTTCCTTTTATCTGAGTACAATTTCTGCATTCATGCCCCCACCAAATGATAAATAAAAACCATCTATTATATATGTATAATCATAGATTAATACTAATTAATTAATTAAAACCCCTAGCTGAAAACCATGACTAAGTTTAATTATCAACCAAACATTTATCATGGGGTCCCCTCTGATCTAATCCAACCTAACTGATCAAGACTGATGAAGAACACGTATCTACAATGTGGTCCACATGACACATGACCTTTGAAATTACACGTAAAAGGAAAAACAAATTGTAATCAACATTATAATTATAAAAAATTTGTACCTGCACGAAATCATTCAATAAAAAACGAGGTATGACGTCAACACGCCGGGACATAGCGAGACCGATCAACGTCTGCAACTGCACAGCCGTCGCAGGCAGCATGAGATGTTCAATCTTTTCCAACTTTGCCCTCCTCAGCAACTTCTCGTTATCTCCTCTTCTCATGTTAACCCCGGAGCTGGCAATCACCACCTTCTCCACTCTCTCCGGCCACATCCTCGCCACGTGGTACGCCACAAACCCGCCGTAGCTCGTCCCAATGACACTGAACCTCTCCACTCCCGCCTTCTCCATCAGCTTCGCCACGGAGGCCGCCTGAAAGACCTCGCTTCTCTCTGCTGACGTGGTGGTGGAGTCGCCGAAGAAGACGAGGTCGGGGACGTAGACGTTGAAGCGGGGGGAGAAGAACTGGACTTGGTTCCTCCACTGCCACATGGCGACGGGGCCGAAGCCGTGGATTAGAACCAGGGAAGGCTTTTTCTGGGTGGCTTGAGAAAATTTGGGGTTGGGACCCCAGAAGTGGAGGGTGGTCTCATTGTCGAGTTGTAAGGTTTGTTGCGAGAGGCCGGAGGCGGCGAAACATCGGCGTACGTAGATGGCATATAATGAGACAGGGCTGAGAAAGAAAGGTAGCATTGGATTGAATTGGATTCGGGGATTGTTGAGTATGATGTAGGGATATTGACTAGGCCATGATAAAGAGTGTACAGTTTTTTTTTCCTTTCTGTTTTGGAGAGGTTTTTTGGGTGGTAAGGTATATGAGCTGGTTTGGGGCTAATTTTAGAAGAAAATTATTAAAGATTAATAAAATTATTAAAGATTAATGGGTGAGAGAATTGGGAAATATTTATTGTAAAGAAGGTGAAAGTGTGTGGAAGTATATAAGGGTGGTGATGGGGTTGGTTTGGTTGGTTCCTTTATGTGTTTGTGTTATGTAGGTGTGATGATGACCCATACTTTGTCACGTGCCAACTTTCACCAAATTTTGTTGTCTTTAAATGATCTTTCAAGCCATACTAGTTAGGCTTTATAACCCGCGTAGTATGTGTAGTGTATCTTGACATGTCCCACATCGAAGTGCATTCTTGTCAATTAAACTCGAGGATAACTGTAAATTTAACATATATTACATTTAATGCACTTTCAAACCGTAAATGCATGTGAATCTCATTGTAAGACTCGCATATACGTATATCAACTGTTAGAAAATTCTATCCGACCTATACGCAACTAAGCTTAGCACTCATGTGCATTTTATGATGAAATCACCTACAAGGCTACATAACACACATGCGAATGATGCAGGCCAGCCAGTCTCCATGCCTCCTTTCGTCTCTATCCGTTCATGTATCAGGACATCAAGCTTAATTTTTATGGTATCTAATAAGATCTTAGTTGCTTAATTAGAAGAGATTAAGTATAACTTTTGAAGCAAGTTGACCAGTGGCTGTTAATTTAGATCCAATTGATTTGATGATATGCCATTACTACCCTTGCAAGCTCAGCTTTGGTTGTTCGCTAAGGCCGGCCTTGCCATCAATATTGCTAAATATCTTTCCAACAACTTCTATTACCAGCCAGAAGTTCCATATGGAATTCCGACCACACGTTAAAGCAAAGCATCCCTAGTGCTTTCTTAAAGTTGAAGTCAGTATTTATATTCATATATACATCCTAAATATATCAGCTGGAATGAGATCATTGGCTAGATTCTTAAATAAAATAAAAAATAAATAAATACTTTTCTCCCAACCAATTAAAATAGATGGAATAAAAATATTGATAAACTGAATGTTTATTTAGTTTATTTTGATCGTGACGGATCATGTATCCAAGGAATTTTGAACTACTCTCACCTCCTCCTCTCTTCTCATAAAAATGGCAGAAACTTAGATCTTTCATTTTCTTCCGAACATTGCGGAAGGAGACCAGATTGTGTATTTTAATTAAAAAAACTATACCCTTTAATTATTATTTTAATATTTATGCGTGACAAACTAAAAGCTAAATCTGGCTGACATAGGGCAATCACCCACCCAGTTATGGGTATAATGGGTTGGACTTGCAAATTTTTATTTTTATTTTTCTACTGGTGATCGATGACATTAGTTCTGACTTGAAAGAGTTTGGTTTTTGTGTATGCACCTGCTACTGGTGCATGTTTGAATTTGAGCTTACTGATGGAAAAGGGAAGGAGAGGGTCAAGGATGGGCCTTATCTTGCTTGACCATAGTAAAAGGAAATGCCACCAATATTGCAAGTAAAGAACTTATGCATTACTTGCTTTGGACTTTTCTTTTTACATTTTCGTCTAAACTATTATATGAGAGGGGAATCAAATTTGATGTAAGAGGCAGACACACTACCTTAACTTACATATACTATACAACTCGTTTTAATTTTGAGGAGAATGTTGTTTATCTCTACTATTTTCCAACTTTTATTGCCCAATACAACAATGGTGCATAAGGTGAGCATGCCATTTACGTCAGGATGCAAGCAAGAACGGTCTTCCACACAATTCCAAACAAGTATAAATAAATAGTATCGGCTGTTCTCATCAAGTAATCCATTGTCGTCCAGCGGTTAGGATATCTGGCTTTCACCCAGGAGACCCGGGTTCGATTCCCGGCAATGGAACTTTTTTGTTTCAACCCATTCAAGGACCGGGGTTCGATTCCCTAGAACAACACTTTTGTTTCTTTTTAGTTTTAAACCCAAGTTTATTTCTGAGAGGCTAAAACCACTCAAGGTGTTTGGTAAAATTCCCATGAGTTAAGTTAAGATAAAGTTGCAGGTAGATTGATTTGTTCACCCCACTTCCTATTTTTGGTCAAGAGCACTTTCATTCCAACCGACAGAGAAGTACAAACATAGAAACTAGGCTACCCACAGCCACAGCCAAAGAACAACAAAGCTACCAACAGCCAGATAAAAGAAATGAGACAAACAAGCTACAGCAAAACTAAAGCAGCCACAGCAGAAAAAAGATGAAGAAACAAGCTACAGCAAAACAACAGGAAATTTTGTTAGAGGCCAAACCTATGACACCTCCCACTTCCTTTTGACCAAAAACTCTAACTTCATCAATCAGCATATGACAAGGTCAGTACTCAATTATATTTTAAATTCCTATCAATGCCTATCTGTGTACAATTTGATTGATTTTTAATATCGTTGTATATGGATTTCCAGTTTAGCCAAAAGACAGGCTCAAGCAAAAGCAGTCAAGCTACATTACTTCTACAAATTTGGTATGTATGGCGTTGACGAAATGTTACATATACTTGGAAATTCTACACAAATTGGTATTTGTACTACAGTTGGCAGAAGCTGATCTTGACCTCTTAACACCTTACTTACTTAACCAAAATAATTAAGCACGACTCACCTCACCTGCCCCAACAGAGATATAATTGAATGAATAAAAAAATATTCTCGTATATCATATACATAGTATGTCCCTTTTTCTTTCTTAGTGGATTGCCTTCATTTTACACATTTAAGGGTTTTCTAATCTATTTTTTTGACTAATGGAAAAAGGACTTCTGCAAATTTAATATAATAACTTGTTTGGTGATGTAATTTGTATTTATTAAAAGATAGTTTGTATTTGTAATTAATCTAATAACTTATTGTAGCTCATGTGGCATACCCCACAAGCGTTGGATATGTTGAATGATCTAGATTTTATGAAATGCGAGTAAATGTACCATCTCTAAATGCAGAGGCTCAGAATCCTCTGTGTATAGTTAAAAAAAAGTCAAAGTGGTAGGCAAGTCATTGGCCATCCCTAACAGATACAGAGACACAGATATGCCTTGGTAGACCTGTTGTGTATAAGATAATTAATAAGAATATTATCCTCCGTATAAATTGTTATTAACAATGTAATATATTATATAGTAGGTGACTGAATGATATGACGAGGTCTCTAAGCAGGCCTTCATATACATAATTGCCTCATCATTGCAAGACATTAAACAATTGCCATTCTGTTGTCTTCTCAAGATGGCTCATGAGAAGATCACATGGAAATGCATCATCCCAGGCTGTTACAAAAGCGCTGCACGTTTAGAAAACCGGTTGCAGACAGATTGCAAAAGAAAACAAATTCTGAAACAAAAACCTTTGCTGCAGAAGAGGCTTTCCCTCTCGGATATAAACGATGATCCCAGCTCAACGCTCTTTGCAGATGATCTTTCCAACTCTGTCATCGGCCTTAATCTTCATGTTTTTTCGTTAGCGGAGCTTAGAGTTGTCACAAGTAATTTCTCATGGAGTAATCTGCTTGGTGAGGGCGGGTTTGGACCGGTGTTCAAGGGGTTTGTTGATGACAAGCTTAGGCCTGGATTGAAGCCTCAGCCTGTAGCTGTCAAGCTGTTAGACTTGGATGGCTTGCAGGGCCATAGGGAGTGGCTGGTTTGATTACTATATGTTGCACATTTGAGTTTCAAGTGGCATAATGGCCTTTTTCATTTGAATAGCATTGCATTGTTTCTGTTGTTGCAGGCAGAGCTTATATTTCTTGGACAGCTGAGGCATCCTAATCTTGTTAAGCTGATTGGATATTGTTGTGAAGATGAGCACAGGCTTCTTGTATATGAATTCATGGCAAGAGGAAGCTTAGAAAACCAACTTTTCAGAAGTGAGTTACTTTTCATTTCTCTCGAAATTTTTTGCTATAATCAATCAGCTGCCAAGCTTATTGAATGAGTTGGATATTGCTGTGTCTATTGACTGATGTCATGTGTGCTATTTCTCGCTAAATGTACTGCAGGCTATTCTTCTGCTCTGCCGTGGTCGAAAAGAATGAAAATCGCTGTTGGAGCAGCTAAGGGCCTAGCCTTTCTCCATGAAGCCGATCATAAGCCTATCATATTCAGAGATTTTAAGACTTCAAATATTTTGCTGGACTCTGTAAGTTCTTTCTTTCTTTCTGAGCTCTCTTATATTGTTGTTGATGGCTATGTGATCTTTGTCACATAAAAATGAAAAAGTACAAAAGGTAGTAAGATTGATTTTGAATTAACTTCTTTCCCTTTCAGGATTATACAGCTAAACTTTCAGATTTTGGGTTAGCAAAGGATGGTCCAGAAGGAGAAGACACACACATAACCACACGTATAATAGGAACACAGGGGTATGCAGCCCCAGAATACATCATGACAGGTAAACCCAATAGCTATTTAGGAAAAGACAAGACTCTAGTAAGTCTTTCATAAGTCATAAACTAATCAAGTTTTAGCACCTAATTAAATTCAGGTCGATTGACAACCAAGAGTGATGTGTATAGTTTTGGAGTTGTTCTGTTAGAGCTGCTGACAGGTAAACAGTGCATAGATAATACCCGCCCAAATCGAGAACAGAACCTTGTAGAATGGGCAAAGCCTCGCTTGAAGGACCCCAGAAAGCTTGACCGGATTATAGACCCAACAATGGAGGGACAATACTCCACAAGAGGGGCTCGAAAGGCGGCTGCATTGGCTTACGCATGCCTGAGCCACCAGCCAAAGAATAGGCCAATGATGAGTGATGTGGTCATGATCTTGGAGCCTCTTCAGAACTTCAATGAAGGGTTAATTGTTAGGCCATTTGTTTATGTAGCACCAAATGAGGAGGATAGTAATAGTACGTAGCATACAAGGCATTATAACAAGTGAAGCACAAAATAATTTGTATTGATTGAGAAAGAAAGGAAGGATCTGCTAACGTCAGTCACTCATTCGCACGAAATTTCTGATCATTGATACATGTCGTCTCCGCATCTCATCAACGGGCGACTGAACGTACCATATCTTAATAAAGGATTTCAAGGTTTCATGACAGCGTATTTTGCAAACTAGTAATAAAATATAGTGAAAAAGCCAGCATGGATATGGTAATGATATCACGTTGATTAAATGATACACCTGGTTTGATTAAAAAATGCTACACTTGACTTTGTGAATTGACAAAAACCTAATCATATATCTTAATCTAAGGGAAGAATTCCAAGTTCCAATAGCAATACACAAATCAAGAACGCAGCCCCCTCTGATAACGTCTTCACTGTAATATCAGGAATTTCAACACCTGCCCACCAATTCATCGCTTGAAAGCCATCACCAACCAAGTAGGCCTAACTTGACCTCATTTTTTTAGTGTTCACTATAATATGAAAAATTCCCATGTCCTGTTCTGAATGTTCTTTTGTTCATCGTCTCTCGTGCTTACTAACCTTCTAGACTAGCGTGTGATGTTTTCTTCATGATATATATTAAGTTGAAGAAGACAAAATGAAACAACTGGTTAGAAACTTGCGGGTTTCTTCTGGGCTTCTAACCTTCTACATCTGCTAAAGTTATCCACGTTACTTAACATTTTTTTATTCATGTTAATATGAGATAAAAGTTATCCATGATATTTCATGTTAATATTGGTAAAATGGAGGTTCATTGCCTAAGCTATAAGGATTTTAAGTTATTGTCACACCTCTCCAATTTGTTATAGGTATAATATTAGCCCAATGGTAGATAAATCTCTTTTAGTGGTTCACTAAATTGCCTATGTATGTTCTAGGGGGAGAAAATAAATAAATGTCCACCAAAGAACCGAGGGACAAACACTTCAATCAGCATGAGGTAGGTAGTCTTGTTTTAAATGACGGTTTTGTATCTTTTGCTGCCATTTGCAGCGATTTCATGACCTTTAGCGGCAAAATTAGGGTTTCAAATACAGAGCGGATTATTTCGCCGCTAACCACGGCTAAATCAATAATTAGTAGCGAAATGTAGACTTACTGTCTTTCCCTCTCACACATCGTCATTTTGGGACCCTACTCCAGTTTGAAAATGGACATCTTTTATCAAATGGTCCTTGTTTATGAAAATCTCATGCTAAAATATTTTAAAATTTAGCTTGGCATCATGTAGTCAAATTAATCAAGTTCTTTTTTTCTTCTTTTGTTGTCCTGCATCACTCACTCCCACGAGTAGAAAAAAGAAAAGAAAAAGAAGCAGCCAACATTCAAAACCAAAAAGAACATCACGAAACCCCCATCATCACCTGCACAAGCTCTTTGCCCTATAACACAGCAGTGTAGGTAGCAGCATTGGGCCTCGTCTCCTTGTCAAATGCAAGTACTTTAGTTTTGTTGATTTCACTATTCAACTGGATCCGAGATGAGGTCTTCTAATTCATCAATAATGGCATCATAACAAAAACAATATTGCTCCGGTTTCTGGACCATTCCATCTCGCTGAGACCTAAATCTGGTTATTGTATTAACTAAATCTAAAGCAGACATGTCCCCAGAAATAATTCTCTGCAATGCGTCATGAATTGTGCAATATGTTCCAGTTCTCCCAACACCTGCACTGCAGTGTACCACAATTGGACTGGAGTCGGGTATGGCAGGTGCTACTTGATACATTGCTCTTTTCAAAATTTCACGAACAGCAATTGTGTTTTCGGGAACTCCATGGTCAGGCCATTGAGGATACAGAATATGCAAAACAGACACGGGTGCTTCCTGTGAGTCTGACTCTTCCTTATGCTTCTTCACCTCCAAAAGGCGCAACACTACTGAATTACCATCTCCAAATTCACTACTTCTTATCGACATATATTCCCAAATTCTCTATGGCCATCATCACCTTCTGCCTGAAAATAATCTCCACATTTATTATCATCCAAGTCAGTAAGCATGACAACTACAGAGCAACGGTACTGGATTACCATCTCCCAAAAATCCTCAAAGGTCTCTGAAAGTGGACCTTGTGTTGCAATAAAAGAAGAGGAACATGATGTGAGCTAGCATTGATGTAGTCTCCTGCGGCAGAATAGTTGAGAACAACCCTATTTTCATCAAATGCTACGTAGTCATCATAACGGTTTTTGCTAAAATTGAAATTGTTGAGAGCCACAGTGCAACGCTTCTCCGCCTCAGATTGTATTATATAAATGGCATCTAACTGATCCCCCTCTTGTTTGATCTGTTCAGGCATCCGGAGCTTGTCCTTGAAGAATTTGAGAGCCAATGAGCAGTACTTGTACTGATGGGGAGCGAGGGTGAGTCTCCTTGGCGGCAGAGCATAGGCCAACAACTCCAAAGAAGGGAGGCCGTTTGTTGCAGCGGTAGCCATTGATGGCGATCTCCTGCAGTGGGGAGAGCCCCTAGAAGAGATGTTCTCCAGTTTCTGGGATTTTCCCCATGCGGTCACATCATCAACCCTGGTCTTCAACATCTCCCTCATCCTCTTGGTCTTTGGCATCTCCAGATTTGCGTTATATCAGAAACTGATGACAAACAACCAAAGCAAACTTCATTGACCTTGAGCTGTATTAGAAACTCCAAAAAAACAAACATTAGAAAAGATAGGACGCTGAGCAATTTCAAACATTGAATATTTACAATTGTTCTCAACAAATTTTCATATTTCTCAAAGACTGGATGGTGACCTTGTTACCAATACATTGAGTATGTCTTTTTCTAGATACAATCATGCTATTAGTGAGCCATTGAACTCTCACTCTACTAGGCATTACATCCTTACAAAATCATCAAAGCAGATTGCATAAATCTTAATTTAATGGAAATCTTAGTTAAATACCTACAACTTCGTTTATAGATTGACATCTTAAGTTACACAGCCAGCAATACCAATATCAAAGTCACTTCTTCACATTCAGTTATAATCATACATTCACAGCCAATGGGGGCAATTGCCCCTAAAATGAATCCTCCATTAATGTGACTGTTACTGGGTAATCTTCTTAGGTTAATTTCATGATTCTAATAAACTTTTGAATCTATTTCACAAAAAGCATACCCAAATTACAGATGACAACAGAAAGGAAACGAACCCACAACGCAATTGTATATTAGGGAAAGACAAAAAAAATATGCAAACTTTGAAATTTTACAGAGTTCAATATGTGGAAAAAAGAAAAAGAGAAGAGCTGCAAATTTTCAACCAATTAGATATCTATTGTAAAAGCCAGTGCTTACCTCTTCTTTACTAACTCGACAGAGCTGTCATGGCGGCTACGGTAGTGCGAGCGATGACGTCGTCGGGGAATTTGGTTTAGGGATTGTTCTTTTGAGTCGAATAGAGTTGGGGATTTTGTCAGAGTAACCCGCACAGACGATAGCCCTGTGTGATCAAAATTCAAATTTGGGCGACAATCGCATGCCTATAATCGTCATTTTAGTTTTGTTCAAGTTTTGTTGCGCCCAAATATGTGGGTGTATTCGGTAATGAACCCATCTCTTTTTGGGCTTTTGAACTTTTGACTATTGGTTTATTTTCAAATGAGTAATGCTATATTTACCACATTTATATCCTATATTTTCATACCACCTTATGTGGTAGATGAAGTAGACAATCACATCAATTAAAAAGTGTCAATAAATCATAAAAGATAAGAAAACTTTAAATTAATTTTAATTGATGTGTTGTCCACCTCATCTGCCACATAAGGTGGTATGTGAATGTAGTAAAAGTAGCATTATTTTTTCCAAATAGACCAGAATGTTTTTTCTTTTGTTTTCCATTTTATTATGTTGTTGTTATCTTTCGATGGTTTTCATTTAGGGAAATTCACTATTATACTCAATATAGGGACCTAAATTATTTATTTTTTTATTTATATGAAATAGACTTTAGAAACACATCCAAAGTCTATTTACAATATAACAAATGGGCTTTTAGCTTCTTATAAATTACAAAACTACCATCGGTTTCATAAAACAAGCCAAACTCAAAACCTCATAAAAAAAAAAAAAACAAGCATAAAAAAAAAAAAAAAAAAAAAAAAAATCAAAATTAAATTCAATAAGGGCCAGCTGTAATTTTTTGGGTGTTTTTTGGGTTTGTTTATAGAAATTAAATAGTGTAGGGTTTATCTATATCAATAGTGCTAAGAATGTGTATATGACTAAATATCTCTTTCATTTATTATTATACTAGCCCCTTGGCACATGCTCACGCATGTGCCAATTGGTTTTCTTTTTTCTTTTTATTTTATTTTTAGAATTAAGAAAAGATAACATGAGTAGTTATGTTCCATAAAAGTAGGGCCTATTATCTTATTTTGTTTTTAATTTTATTTCTTTAATATGAAAAAAAAGTGAATTTACCATATTATCCTCATTTAATTAGTAATTTCAATTCTTAATGTTTGAATTAACCAAGGACATTTTATGGTATTTTGAATGTTTCACCATTCTCAGCCTTTTGCTTTATATATATAGATTTCAAATTTCTTTTATTGTGTGAGCAGTGCCAAAAGGTTAGTATGCAAAATATTAACTGAATATATTACTGCTATCATCAACTTTTGCTGTTGTTGAAATGCTTTTGGTGTTTTTAGCCCTAAGGATTCCACATTTATCTAAATTACACCAAATGTGGATATGTTGGGGTAGACTTACTAATAAAAAAATTTCATGAAGAAAAACAATTCATTAGAGCATTGAGAGGCTTGCAATTGGTGAATCAAAAAAGAAAAATGACGGGAAGAGGGGGAAAAAATGAGTACTCACTCGTCTTCAAAAAAAAAAAAGAAAAAAAAAAAGGCCAAGGCCTAAACAAATTGCAACTAGTGAATCAAAAAGAAAAAAGGAATCATGAAGGGTAAAAAGGTGTACTCACTCGACTTCGCAAAGAAAGAAGAAAAAGGATCGTGCCTATACAAAGTACAAATGGTGAATCGAAAAAGAAAAAGGAAGGAAAATGGGGGGAAAATGGGAAACTCACCCCTTTTCGTAAAAATGAAAAAAAGGCCCAGGCCTCTGGGCCATTCGACCATGGTGGAGGTGGAGAGCACCTTGGCTGTTATGAGGAGGTTGTGGTAGGGATAAAGGAAACAGAGGTGACGAACCTAGGCTCAGAGGAGGTGAAGGTGACATACCCAGGCTCAAAGGAGGTGGAGGTGAAGGACTGAGGCTCAGATGAGGTAAAGTTAATAGAAAAAGGGAGGTTGTTCATGCAGCCACTTCACCTGCAAGTAATTGAAAAAATGAAAAAAGAGAGGTACAAATAAGATGAACTCATGTATGCATGGTTAAGGTGGTATCTCATTCAAACCATCACCGAACTATGGTATTCCTAAATTTCAACAAGAATGCACCTATACCAGTTGAGAATCCGGCGGGGGAGACCACTCCTACAGGGGAGGCTAGTCCTGCAACAAATTGCAACTCGTGAATCAAGAAAAGAAAAAAAAAGAAGGAAAGATGGGGAAAAAGGAGTACTCATTCATCTTTGTTTAAAAAATAAAAGGTTTGGGCCTAAACAAATTGCAACTCATGAATCGAAAAAGAAAAAGGAATCATAAAGGGGAAAGGGTGTACTCACTCAACTTCACCTAAAAAAAAAGGATTGGGCCTATACAAAGTACAAATGGTGAATTGAAAAAGAAAAAGGAAGGAAAATGGGGAAAAATGGCGTACTCACCTGTCTTCGTAAAAATAAAAAGAGGCCCGGGCCTCTAGGCCATTCGACCATGGTGGAGGTGGAGGAAAAGCAACTTGGCTGTTAAAAAGAGGTTGTGGTAGGTACAGAAGAAACGGAGGAGACGAACCTAGGCTCAAAGGAGGTGAAGGTGATAGACCCAGGCTTAAAGGAGGTAGAGGCGAAGGACCCAGGCTTAGATGAGGTTGAGGTGATAGAAAAAGGGAGGCTCCTCCTTCAGGGGCGGTTGTTCCTGCAATCGGTAAAGCCATTGCAGCAGCTCTTCTGGTAATTCTTGAAGGTTAAAAAAGAAAATGGAAAAGAATATAAGGAAAAATACTCAAAAAAAAAAAAAAGCCTAAACTAATTGCAACTAAAATAAAAAGAAAAATTGAAGGAAAAATAGTACTCACTAGTCTTCGCAAAAGAAAAAAGGAGGCTCGGGCCTAAACAAATTGCAATTGATGAATAAAAAGAGAAAATTGAAGGGAAAATGGGGAAAAATGAGTACTCACCCGCCTTTGCAAAAGAAAAAAGGAGGCCCAGGCCTAAACAAATTGCAACTGATAATTCAAAAAAGAAAAATGAAGGAAAAATGGTGGAAAATGAGTAATCACCCATCTTTGCAAAAAAAAAAAAAAAAAAAAAAAAAAAAATGCCCTAAAAAAATTGTAACTGGTGAATCAAAAAAGAAAATTGAAGGAAAAATAGGGAAAAATGAATGACACTCGAAAAAAAAACTAAACAAAAAAAAAGAAAAAAAAAGGAAAGAAGGGGAAAAATAGTATTCACCCATCTTTGCAAAAAAGAAAAAAAAGAAAAAAAGGAAGGCTCGAGGCTAAACAAATTGCAACTAGTGAATAAAAAAAGAAAAAGGAATCACAAAAGTGAAAAAGGCGAACTCACTCGACTTTGCCAAAAAAAAACCAAAGGGATCGGGCCTATACAAAGTACAAATGGTGAACTGAAAAAGAAAATGGAAAGAAAATGGGAAAAAATGGCGTACTCACCGGTCTTCGTAAAGATAAAAATAAAAAGCCCGAGCCTCTAGGCTGTTCGACCATGGTGGAGGTGGAGGTGGAGGTAGAGCAACTTGGCAGTTAAGAAAAGGTTGTGGCAAGGACACAGGAAACAGAGGCGACAAACCTAGGCTCAAAGGATGTGAAGCAGACCTAGGCTCAAAGGAGTTGGAGGCGAAGGACCAAGGATCAAATGAAGTGGAGTTGATAGAAAAAGGGAGGCTCTTCCATCAGGGGAGGATGTTCCTCCAGCCGCTAAAGCCGCTGCTATCGCTCCAGTTGCAAAAGCCACTGCTGCCGCTCAAGCCGCCGCTACAGATCAAGCCGCCGCGGTCACTCAAGCCGCCACTACCACTCAAGCCGTTGTTGTTGCTCAAGCTGTAGCTGCAGCTCTTCTAGTAATTCATGAAGGTCAAAAAATAAAAAGGAATGGAAGAGTGGGAAAAATGAGTACTCACCCGTTTTCGCCAAAAAAAAAGCTGAAGCCTAAACAAATTGCAACGGGTGAATCAAAATGGAAAAAGGAATCATAAAGGGGAAAAAGGTGTACTCACTCAACTTTGCAAAAAAAATAAAAATCGGGCCTATACAAAGTACAAAAGGTGAATCGAAAAAGAAAAAGGAAGGAATGCAACAACCCGGTCCATAATTAATATTTAATTATTAATTTATTCCAGTAAAAGACCATTATACCCCTAAAATATTTTAGTGATCTAAAAGTTGACTTTTTGGCCGGGAAAGAATTTAGGGATTTCAGTTATACCGTTGCGTAGACGCGACGAAACGAGTTCGTAGACATGCGGCACGCTCGATTCCGAGTTGTAACGAAAGAGGAAAGGTTTAGAAACAAAAAAGACGTTTTGGGAATTTTTATATTTGTTACTGTAGCAACAGTGCCGCTACAGTACCGGGTCTTATTTATCTCTCTCCTCCCTCTGGTTCGCAGGCAGCACCCCCCCCATTGCTGTTACTATTCATCCGCCCACTCTTTGGGTCGCCACCGTCACTACCGGCCACCGTTTTGGGTGGTACCGGTCCCAAAAGAACCGAGCCACCTCCCTATTGCCATCCCGACCAATCTCAGCCCCTGAAGCCGCCGGACATCGCCGGAAACAGCTCGAAAACAGCCGATTTTTGACAGAACTTTCGAGCTCTCGTTCTCCGTTGTCCGGCCACCAAATCGGACGAGTGAGGTATGGTTTTCTAGCTATTTTCCATGCTCTAGCTGCTGGTTAGGTAGGATTTCAGAGATTTCAAGCGTAGATCATTCGATTGTTTAAGTTAGGTTTCAGCAGATTTTCGGGTCACTGTTTCGGCCACTTCCGGCCACTTTTTGGGTTATGTCCAAGAACAAAAGTTGTTCCAAATGGGTTGTTTTACCTAAGTTAGGAGTTTGGGCGGGTGGTTTGGAGTTTTTCTGACCGCCAGGAATTGATCAAGCCACCCACGCACTGCCGGCGCGTGTGGCGGCGCGTGGGCAGATTGGTAGAAACCACTTTCAGTTCTAGAATCATCCTTGGGTCGTCACGAGCGTGTAGGAATTCGCGGATCTCAATTTGGTTAACGATTGAACCCCGAACGGATCTCGCATATTGTGCGTTTTCCGGGTTCGATACGTTTGAACCGTTGGATCGCAGTCAATTTCAAATATGTTAATCTAAGTAATTCCAGGATCGTATGGTAGTTGAAAGATTGTAAAACGAAGTCCCAGATACTCCAGGCATGTCAGCCCTAGTGCGAGTTTACGGATAAATAAACCATTACAGATAAACGAACCAGTTGCATATCAGAAACAGAGGAAAGAACTACGTGTGGCTTGATCCCTCAGTAAGGGTACGTAGGCAGCCTACAGTTATCAGACGCAACCACAAGTTAGGGGCTCAGGGTTTGTGTTATTGTTTTTCAAGGCATTTTGGTCACTTACGACCCACAGTCACCAGGTGTCAGTTTTAAACAGGATTCGATCCGGATTCCAAAGTGGAAATTGGGTCAAGTCGTTTCAATTGGTATCAGAGTATTAGGTTAACTTCCTGTAGACACAGCATCACATGTGCATCCTTATTTTCAGAATTGCTAGACATTTCTTATGTTTGAAAAATTTGTTGATAAATTTATTAGAAATTCAATTAATTTGTCCTTTTTAACTGAAATTAACTGAAATTCAAGTGCGACTTCTACCGAAAATTCGGCAGATTCTCCCATGTAAACTGAACATTCCCAAAAACATTCTACCTGTAAAACAAGCATGTATATTTATATAACTCATTTGCCAGCATACATTAAATCATATCCAAGCAATCAAACATCATAATATTCAGGTCTCAGGTCGTAACAAACCAAATAAATCAATCTGCTAATCAATCTCAACTTTCAGCTCAGCAATAATACTCTGGTAATCTAGCTCAGCAGCATGAAGTTTAAAATGTTTAAAAGCATATAGTAAGGTACTGAACTCATGCATTCCTGCTTATACACAACTTACTAAGCAGTAATCTTGTGGAAAAACATTGAATATATAGTTCATCCTGCTCTGTAATTCTTGTTGGACTCAGGAGACATCTGGTCAACCTGATCCGCAATTCTGGTTCCCACGGTCTGAATAACTGTAAGACTCGTAGGGCAAAATATGCTAGAAATACTAGAACTGTTTAATACCATATCCAATAATAAAATATGAAAGCCAACAAATTACATGAAATAAAATAAAACAACTTAAATAAAATAAACTAAGTTAAATTAAAGCAAACTAAACTAAAATAAATAAAGTCCATAAGTATTTATATATATATATATACACACACATGCTCCATCTATTACTTGTAAAACAACTATGATGTTTATATAAATAATGGTAATTGTATAAAATCCTTAATTTAGTGTAAAAGCATCTCAAAACTTAAATCCTCTCCATCTAGGTGTACCCCCATATATGATCCGTCAATTCCTTTAATACCGTCAATTCCATATATCCGTCAATTCCATTCTCACAGGTCTCGGAAACACAAAGTTAACCGAGCCGCATTCCTCGCAGGTCTTAGAGATAAAACTTCAATCTGAGCCGCAATCCTCGCAGGTCCCGGAGACACCAAGTCCATCCGAGCCGCATTCCTCGCAGGTCTTAGGGGACCATTAGTTAGCCTGAGTCGCAATCCTCGCACCACACGGTTCAGGCGTCCCCGATACTCGTGGGGCATAAACTGTCTCAAGGCAACTGGGGAGGTACCCTATGGTTGGTTTGAAAACCATAATCTATTATTTACATAAACTTTCAATAAACTGGTTCTGAACTAAACTTAAAATATATCCATATATATATGTATATATATACCAAAATCTGATAAAAACCAAAAGTTATTCCTTTTCAACCACTGAATATATGCATCAACTACTTAACTAGTTGGTTAACCACCTTGCTCTCTGCTGAGCATTTCATTCTAATATTATATTTATGCTCTTATAACACAATTAATCATATGAACAAGTATAATTAGGTGATGAATAAACCGATAATTAAATACTCATCTTGCTAAACCTCAGTTCTCGACATATAAGTATATATAATAACATATATAACAAGTTTTTCAAATGAACACCTCAACAAATTTTTCAAACATAAGAAATGTTCAGCAATTCTGAAAATAAGGATGCACAAGTAATGCAATGTCTACAGGAAATTAACCTAATGCTCTGATACCAATTGAAACGACCTGACCCAAATTTCACTTTGAGATTCGGGCCGAATCCTGTTTAAAACTGACACCTGGTGACTGTGGGTTATAAAAGACCAAAATGCCCTGAAAACAGTAACATAAACCCAGAGCCCCTAACTCGTGGTTGTGTCTGATAACTGTAGGTTGCCTACGTACCCTTACTGAGGGATCAAGTCACACGTAGTTCTTTCCTCTGTTCCTGTCTTGTAACTGGAAAGTTTTACTGTAAACCTCACTCTAGGGCTGACATTTCTGGAGTATCCGAGACTCCGTTTTACGATCCGTCAAATGTTATACGATCATGAAATTACCTAGATCAACATACTAGAACATGATTACGATCCAACGGTTCAAACCTGCTGAACCCGGGAATCACCCACTAGGCGAGATCCGTTCGGGGTTCAAACGTTATCCGAATTGATATCCGCGAATTCCTCCGAGCTTGTGACAACAAGAGGATCACATTGGGACACAATGCCTCACTGCTACAGTTTCCACGCGCTGGCAGCGCGTGGTTGCTCAAAGTGATAACACTTCGTCGGAAAATCTCAACATCTCGGCTGAAGACTCCTATCCTGGGTAAAACATCCTATTTGGAACCACTTTTGTTCTTGGACCTACCCCAAAAACTGGCTGGAAGTGGCCGAAACAGTAACCCGAAAGTTTGTTGAAACCTAACTTAAAAATCAAACGATCTACGCTTGAAATCTTTGAAATCCTATCCAACCAGCAGCTAGAGCATGGAAAATAGCTAGGAAAACATACCTCACTCGTCCGATTTGGTGGCCGGAGGTGTCCGAACGAGCTCTGTGAAATTCCGTAAAAAACTGTCCAAACCGCTCTGTTTCGTGGCTGTTTCCGGTGACCTCGAGGCTGGGATAGGCTGAGACTGAAAGAGGGGAGTGAGGTGGTTCATTTGGCACCGGTCTTCCTCGAATTGGTACTCGGAGCTGAGAGAAATCCTCTCCTAAAGTCGGCTAGTCGAGTTGCCGACATAGGAGAAATCTGGGTTTTTTAAGAACTCAATTTCGAAATATTTACGGTTATGACATTGAACTTCGTTTGATTGTAACTCTTTCGTTACAACTTTGATTTGAGCCCACTACATGTCTACGGACTCATCTCACTGTGCTCTACGCAACGGTATAACTGAAATACCCAAATTCATTATCGATCAAAAACTCAACTTTTAAATCATTAAAATTATTCTAGGAGTATAGTGGTCTTTTATTGGAATAAATTAGTAATTAAATATTAATTAAGGACCGGGTTGTTACAATCTACCCCCCCTTACAAAAATTTTGTCCTCGAAATTTACATACCCATCACTAAAAAAGGTGAGGGTATTGAGCCTACATTTGTTACTCGTGTTCTCAACTCTGCTCTTTTGAAACTGCACTCACCACTTGCATCTCAATAACTGTATCTATAAGGCAATCAATAAAATTTGAAGGCAACCTATGTATATATGGGTACCTGAGGTTAGGGCTGGCATTTTCTACCGAAAAACTGAAAAATCGACCAAATCGGACTGAATCGAACCGATCGGTTCAGAATTTGTCACTCAAATTTCAATTTTCGGTTTGCAAATCGAACCGAACCTTAATAAATCGGACCGGTCGCGGTTGAGGAAATCCCAAACCGACGGTGAACCGAACCGAATCGATTCTTGCGAAATTGTGCAAAATTACGCCTTATAGGGGATTCGATCCCCTGACCTAGGGTTTCAAATTATTCCATCTTTGCACTGGATTGCTTGGCTTTCTTATTAAATCTTTGCACAACAAGAGTTTAATAGCTTTTAAAGAGAATTAAAAAATATTATAAAAAAATTAGGGTTTTTAACCCTAGCATCTCTTCAATTCTAGATCCTATTCTTTATCTTCTTTTTATTTTCTCTCCAGCCGCCATCTTCTTCATCCCCCTCACGAGCTCATTTCTTCTTCTCCCCCCTCTCCCTCTTCTTCCCTGCCACCTTTCTTCTTCGAAGTTCATCTCACCATCTCTTCTTCTCCTCTTCCTCCTCCATCTTTCTTCTTGTCCCCATCACAACCCTTCTTCTTCTTCTTCTCCTCCTCCTCCCTCTCTCTCCTCTTCACCGCCGGCCTTCATCTTCATGGCTCATCTTTCTTCCTCTTCTCCTCCACCTCTTTTTCTCTATCTATTGATCTATCAAGTTTCTTGCCGTCATCGAACCATTCCAACCGATGGTTTCGGTTCAACCAAAATCCGGTAAACCGACGAAGTCGGAGTTGGCAGCGGTTTCAAGTTTGGTTTTACTGACTACCCTCGGTCAGTTATCGGTTGGAGCTCATCGGGTCGGTTACCGAACCAATTCCACCCCTACCTAAGGTGGCTTAAGAAAGTATAAAACTCTGAAAAGATCTGCTACTAATTGAATTTCTAATAAATTTAAAACTTTACTGCCATTAATCTGATATTTAGCTAAAATTCTCCTTTTTCCGGTAACAACCCAGTCCTTAATCAATATTTAATTACTAATTTATTCCAATAAAAGACCACTATACTCCTATAATATTTTTAATGATTTAAAAGTTGACTTTTTGACCGGTAAGGAATTTGGGGATTTCAATTATACCGTTGTGTAGAGCGCAGCGAGATGAGTCCGTAGACACGTAGTGGGCTCAAATCGGAGTTGTAACGAAGGAGTTATGATCAAAAGAAGTTCAGCGTCATAACCGTAAATATTTCGAAGTTGAGTTCTTAAAAAACCTATATTTCTCCTATGTCGGCAACTCGACCAGCCGACTTTAGGAGATGATTTCTCTCAGCTCCGAGTACCAATTCGAGGAAGACCGATGCCAAACGAACCACCTCACTCCCTCTTTCAGTCTCAGCCATCCCAGTCTCAATCCGCCGTCTTGGTCACCGGAAACCGCCACGAAACAGGGCGATTTGGACAGTTTTTGACGGAATTTCACGGAGCTCGTTCAGACACCTCTGGCCACCAAATCGGACTAGTGAGGTATGTTTTTCTAACTATTTTCCATGCTCTAGCTGCTGGTTGGGTAGGATTTCAGAGATTTCAAGCGTAGATCGTTTGATTTTTAAGTTAGGTTTCAGCAGACATTCGGGTCACTGTTTGGGCCACTTCCGGCCAGTTTTTGGGGTAGGTCCAAGAACAAAAGTGGTTCCAAATAGGGTGTTTTACCTAGGATAGGAGTCTTGAGCCGAGATGTTGAGATTTTCCGGCGAAGCGTTATCGCTTCGGGCAACCACGCTCTGCCAGCGTGTGTGGCGGCGCGTGGGAACTGTAGCAATGAGGCATTGTGTCCCAATTTGATCCTCTTGTTGTCACGAGCTCGTAGGAATTCGCGGATATCAATTCGGATAACGTTTGAATCCCGAACGGATCTCGCTTAGTGGGTGATTCCCGAGTTGTAACGAAGGAGGAAAGGTTTAGAAACAAAAAGGAAGTTTTGGGAAGTTTTCATATTTGTATTGTAGGAACAGTGCCGCTACAGTACCAGGTCTTATTTATCTCTCTCCTCCCTCTGGTTTGCAGGCAGCACCCCCCATTGTTGTTACTATTCATCCGCCCACTCTTTGGGTTGCCACCGTCACTATCGGCCACCGTTTTGGGTGGTACCGGTCCCAAAAGAACCGAGCCACCTCCCTCTTGCCATCCCGACCAATCTCAGCCCCTGAAACTGCCGGAGATCGCCGGAAACAGCTCTAAAACAGCCGATTTTTGACAAAAGTTTCGAGCTTTTGTTCTCTGTCATCCGGCCACCAAATCGGACGAGTGAGGTATGATTTTCTAGCTATTTTCCATGCTCTAGTTTCTGGTTGGGTAGGATTTCAAAGATTTCAAGTTAGGTTTTAGCAGATTTTCGGGTCACTGCTTCGGCCACTTTCGTCTACTTTTTGGGGTATGTCCAAGAACAAAAGTTGTTCCAAATGGGGTGTTTTACCTAAGTTAGGAGTTTGGGCTGGTGGTTTGGAGTTTTTCCGACCGTCAGGAATTGATCAAGCCACCCACGCACTGCCAGCGCGTGTGGCGGCGCGTGGGCAGAATGGTAGAAACCACTTTCAATTCTAGAATGATCCTTGGGTCGTCACGAGCGTGTAGGAATTCGCGGATCTCAATTTGGTTAAAGATTTAACCCCGAACGGATCTCGCATATTGTGCGTTTTCCGGGTTCGATACGTTTGAACCGTTGGATTGCAGTCAATTTCAAGTATGTTAATCTAAGTAATTCCAAGATCGTATAGTAGTTGACATATTGTAAAACGGAGTCCCGGATACTTCAGGAATGTCAGCCCTAGTGCGAGTTTATGGATAAATAAACCATTACAGATAAACGAACCAGTTGCATATCATGAACAAAGGAAAGAACTACGTGTGGTTTGATCCCTCAATAAGGGTACGTAGGCAGTCTACAGTTATCAGGCGCAGCCGCAAGTTAAGGGCTCAGGGTTTGTGTTATTGTTTTTCAGGGCATTTTTGTCACTTACGACCCACAGTCACCAGGTGTCAGTTTTAAACAGGATTCGACCCGGATTCCAAAGTGGAAATTGGGTCAGGTCATTTCAAGGAAAATGGGGGAAAATGGCGTAATCATCCATGGTGGAGGTGGAGAAAAAGCAACTTGGTTGTTTGAAAAAGGTTGTGGCAGGGATAGAGGAAACAAAGGCGACGCACCTAGGCTGAAAGGAGATGAATGCAATAGACTTAGGTTCAAAGGAGGTGGAGGCGAAAGACCGAGGCTTGGATAAGGTGAAGGTGATAGAAAAATGGAGGATGTTCCTGTAGTCGCTGAAGTCGTTGCAGTAGCTCTTCTGGTAATTCCTGAAGGTTAAAAAGGAAAAAGGAAGGAAAAAGGAGGAAAAAGGAGTACTCACCCATCTCTGCAAGAAAAAAAGGCCAGGGCCTAAACAAATTGCAACATATAAATAATAAAAAACAAAATTGAAGGAAAAATGGGGAAACATGAGTTCACACTGGTCAAAAAAAAAAAAACAAATTGCAAAAATAATAAATTCAAAAATGAAAAATGAAGGAAAGAGGGCGACAAATGAGTAATCACCAATCTTTGCAAAAAAAAAAGGGGTTGGGGCCTAATCAAATTGTAACTGGTGAATTAAAAAAGAAAATTGAAGGAAACAATGGGGAAAAGTACTCACTTGTCTTCGCCAAAAAAAAAAATGCAAGTGGTGAATCAAAAAAGAAAAATGAAGGAAGAGGGGAGAAGAGGCGTTTTGCCGCTGCCGCTGCCGCTCAAGCCACTTCTACTGCGGCTCAAGCCACCGCTGCCGCTGCCACTCAAGCCTCTACAGTAGCTCTTGGCCTAAAAAAATTGCAACTGGTGAATCAAAAAAGAAAATTGAAGGAAAAATGGGGTAAAATGAGTATTCACTCGTATTCACAAAAATGAAAAAGCTCATGCCTAAACAAATTGCAACTAGTGAATAAAAAAAAAAAAAAAAAAAAAAAATCAACAAAACTCGGGCATAAACAAATTGTAAGTGGCGAATCAAAAAAGCAAAAAAAATGAAGGAAAGAGGGGGTTGTTCCAACAACAAATTATAAAACAAAGGAGTGGGAAAGACGGGCCTAAAGTATCTGCAACAACTCTTCGGGTAATTCCTGAAGGTTAAAAAAGAAAAACAAAGGAAAGAGGGGGAAAATGAGTACTCACCCGTCTTCGTAAATAAATATAAATAAAAAAAGCACGGGCCAAAACAAATTATAACTGGTGAATCAAAAAAGAAAAAGGAATCAAAAAGAGGGGAAAAGGTGTACTACTCAACTTCCCTAATAAAAAAAATAAATAAATAAATAAATAAATAAAAAAAATAAAATAAAATAAACCCAACCCTCTAGGCTGTTCGACCATGATGGAGGTGGAGGTAAAGCAACTTGGCTGTTAAGAAGAGGTTGTGGTAGGAACATAGGAAATGGAGGCGACGAACCTAGGCTCAAAGGATGTAAAGGCAATAGACCTAGGCTCAAATGAGGTGGAGGTGAAGGAGTAAGGATCAAATGATGTGGAGTTGACAGAAAAAGGGAGGCTGTTCCTGCAGCCGCTAAAGCCGTCGCTGTCCTTCATGCCGCAATTGCCACTTATGCCGCAGCAGTAGCTCTTCTAGTAATTCTTGAAGGTCAAAAAAGAAAAATGAAGTAAAGAGAGGCAAAAAGGAGTACTCACCTAAACAAATTACAACTGGTGAATAAAAAAAGAAAAAGGAATCACAAAGGGGGGAAAAGGTGTACTCACTCGACTTTGCAAAAAAAGAAAAAAGGATCGAACTTGTACAAAGTACAAATGGTGAATTGCAAAAAGAAAAAGGAAAAAAAGAAGGGAAAAACAGCATACTCACCCGTCTTCGTAAAAATAAAACAAAAGGGCCCGAGCTAAAGTCGCTGCTGCCGCTTAAGTCGCTGTTACCGCTCAAGCCGCTACAGCAGCTCTTCTGGTAATTCCCGAAGGTCAAAAAGAAAAAGGAATGAAAGAATGGGAAAAATGAGTACTCACCTTCTTAGCGGATAAAATTTTTATAAAAAAATAAAAATAAAAAAAAGGGCTTGAGCCTAAACAAATTGCAACTGGTGAATGAAAAAAAGAAAATTGAAGAAAAAATGAGTACTCACCCACAAAAACAAAAAAGGCCTGAGCCTAAACAAATTGCAATTTGTAAATCAAAAAAGAAAAAAAGGAAAAAAAATACAAGAAACAAATGAATCAAAAAAGAAAAAGGAATCACGAAGGGGAAAAAGGCATACTTACTCGACTTCGCAAAAACAAAAACAAAAAGTTCGGACCTATACTTACTGTTCTTGGATTCAGATTCTCAGTGATCTAGGTTATTTGTGGAGAAGTGGCTGCAGCTTCTTCCTAAAGTTACTAAAGAGGTATATCCCAACATGATGTGCTCTTTCTTGAACAAATAGCGTAATATGATTTGGGGTTCAGTAATGTTGTTTGTTTGGTATATAGAGATAAACTAACTTTTTTTTTTTTTTTTTTTTTTTTGTTTTTTTTTGACTTCAAACCTTCTTATATGCATATGATTAATATTGAATGGAAGCCTTTGTAGATATAGTTTATTTCAACGACTAAACTTATAATGGGATCTGTTATGATCTCTTGTTTTCAGCTTTATGAGGTTGATATGCATTTGGAAGAACACCAAGAAATGGTTTTTCAAAAGTGCAGGTTGTTCAGTAACATTGTATCTTAGTTTAATATGTTTTACATCTACATGTTGATGCAATGAAATAAAAAATTATTTGTAAAATCTGTATTATTGATGTGTGTATGGCCATGTAGTGCATGTGGATAGAAAGAGCGACTCTGTGTGTTTTTGTGCATGAACAGAGTTGCATATGAATGCTTATCTAGTAACCATACCTTATCTTATGAACATTGTTTCAGAAAAATGTCGACTGTAGAGAAGAGAAAACTTGGGGTAGCCCTTACCAAATTGTCTCTTGAGGATCTCAACAAGGCATTAGATATTGTTGCACAAAATAATCCCGGTTTCCAGGCTATTGCTGATAAGGTGGACCTTGCCATTGGTGCTCAGGTAATCATTTTCATTATTGATCAATTGGGACTGATACACACCAATGCCAGGTAATCATTTACATTATGTGCAAAACACTGTTTAGTGTTGACTTGGTTTTGATGTTTGGTACTGTTTGGATTCTTTATCGTACCTATTATACAAATGAAATGATGTAGTTGTTAACTTCTAGTAAGTGTTATGAACAGTTGTTATATTGTTCATACCTTGCAACTGAGTTGACTTCTATGACATAGTATTAATAGTGTACTTCTACGACATAGTATTAACATATTTTTAGTAACAAATCATGCGCCATATTTTGCTCTATATACAGCTATGCACTTGAAGTTTATGATATGCATAATGTGATTTTTACTAGGAAGATAGTTTTATGACATAGTATTAATAATGTATTTTTTTTTCTTGTAAAGGTATTTCCTTATGTCTTTGCGATTGTTTCTGATGAAACTGTGGACAATTGGATGTGGTTTCTTCAAAGGATATCGGATGTCTTGCTGAGCTTTTTTGGGCTTTTTTTGTTTTTGAGTTTTTTGTATGAAATGGTATTAACAATGTACTTCTATGACATGGTATTAACAACATACTTCTATGATATGGTATTAACAATGTACTTTGGGCTTGGTGGGCTTGTTTTGGGTTTTTTTAAAGTTTTTTATGTTTGGCTTGTTTTAAGTTAATCAATGACAGTCATGTAATTTATAGGAACTTCAATACTCATTTCTTATGCAGTAAGTGATTTTTGGATATGTTTCTAAAGTGCATTCCATGTGGGGTTTTAAAAAAAATAATTTCAACCCTTATTTTGGGTAAACTACTAAAGCTCCTAAAAAGAAATAGTAAATAAATGACTTCTTGATACCTAAAGATTGTATATATCCTCAACAACAAAGTAAATATTGTAATAACTTATTGATATGTAAATTGTATGACATGATTGTAAATGTGAGTTAGACCAATTTACTAAGGTAGTAAGTTTATTTTTTTATAATCGAATTTGAATCCTCTCTCCGTATATTAAAATAATTTAGTATATTGCTGTTGTAAATTATATGACATGATTTTAGTAGTTTCCAGTCCTAAATAAATGATCACATGCATGGTAGCAAAATAAATAAATAAATTGAAAATAAAAAACGATGTATTTGCCCAAATGAATCATGTTTTGGAAAGAGAAAAAAATTGAAAATTGGTGGAAAATTGTTGTTAATCCTGCAACTCCTTCGCCTCTAAGATTCGAACCCACGCGGAAACACTTGAAAGTTAAAGCAGCAGAGAATTGCATTAATCACTCGACCAACGTGACCACTGCCGTCACAACATAAATTAGAACGTTTTGAAATTCTGTATCCACAGACTCGGGCCGAGTATCTGACTGTATTGGCGCGATCGAATCATAACAACTACAAGCAGAGAAAGAGATAGACAGAGAAGAAAATGGCGGCGACGGGGCAAGTCGCAGGAGGTCTGACGGAGTACGATCGCCAAGTGTTGACCGCAGTCAACGCCGGAGCGGCGAGCCTCTCATTCGTCGGGTCGGGCTTCATAGTCCTCTGCTACGTTCTCTTCAAAGAGCTCCGCAAGTTCTCCTTCAAGCTCGTCTTCTACCTCGCCCTCTCTGTATGTCTTCTCTCTCATTCTGTGAATTTTGCTTAAAATGATAAAATTGCGTCTGTTAGATCTAATTGCTCGATTGGCGGTGACGTGGTGTTTTCTATTTCTGGAAACTTGAGCTTCGCTAAATACTCGGAAATTTAACTTAATCTGTAGCAAATTGCATTTGATTACTTTAAAATTGTTAGAAAATTGTGCAATTTCTTAGCTTTATGTAGTGGCTTTTACTTTGGTGACTTGAGCTTGAAAGATTCAACATAACTTTTCTAAACATTTAGGATTTTGGGCTTTGTTGTTCTTTAAGACTCGCTTCGCTCTAGTGTTTAGCTTGAAGTTTGATTAAATTGGGAGCAGAAGAAAGCCATTTTATTGTTATTGTTACCGTTCACGTGGTTAAGAATATTTATTGCTTATTTTGTTATGCAGGATATGCTTTGTAGCTTCTTCAGCATGGTTGGGTAAGCTCGCTTCCCAGACACAAGTGCAGTCAGATAATATAACAAATTTATCTGATTCTGGCTTTTAAGTGATATAAGGGGAGTAATTTGCTCTTTTGTGCAGGGATCCATCCAGAGGATTTTTCTGTTACTCGCATGGCTATAGCACTCATTTCTTCTGTGTAGCATCTTTCCTATGGACTACCACGATTGCTTTTACCCTCCACCGCACGGTTGTTAGACACAAAACGGATGTTGAAGATATGGAGGCAATGTTTCATTTGTATGTTTGGGGTATGACCTTTTTATGTTTTGCCAAAGATCTTTCAATTTACTTCCAGTGTTTATAGAAAATTTAGCTTCTTCGTATGTTCCTGCCGAGAGAGAATAGAAAATTTAGCTTCTTCTTATGTTCCTGCTGAGAGAGAGAGAGAGAGAGAGAGAGAGAGAGAGAGAGAGAGAGAGTATTGCCATTAGTTGTTATATTTAAACTGTGAAGCTCATTACAGTTCATTTGCTTCTATTTTCTTTTTGTTTTCACAGGGACTTCACTAGTTATGACTGTGGTGCGCTCTATTGGTAATAACCATAGCCACCTTGGTACATGGTGTTGGTCACAATCAGGGCGTACTGGAAAGGTAAGTGCACAGTACCTATTGGCTGCAAGAATGTTGTCTGAAGACTCTATGTTTTTGCTTTCCATTCCAGACTATGGGAATTTCTAGAGTTCTTCTACAATTAGTTGGTTTTACAAATTACAACACCTTGAACCTCGTTGGTTGGGAGGAATTCTTGATGATGTCTGGGAGAATATTTTTAATGTGATACCACAAATGTAAATCTTTTTGGTCAGATACCATAAGTGTAGATTAAACATGTAAAAATCAATGATAATGGAGTAAAATCTGTGCCCTACTCATGCTAATCATCACATGCACAATGATATCTACAGTTGGACTATGTTAATCCTGAATATGTGTCAGAGTTCTCTGCTTCCTAATAGTTGAATTTCATTAATTCTTAACATGTACTACTAGTAGATACAAAAATAAGCTTTAGCTTTAGAAACCTGTCATGTGAAACCAACAGTTCATATGTAGAATACCTTGCAAATTTAAGCATCCTTAAGTCATTGTTGCACAGTTGGCCCAATTGGAGTTCTATAGCTGCCTGATGTAACTGAGTTTTCATCGCTGTACTCTGATTTTTCCGCCCATTCTTACAGGCAGTTCACTTTATAACATTTTATATGCCACTCTGGGGTGCAATTCTTTACAACGGTTTTACGTACTTTCAAGTGATAAGCATGCTGAAGAATGCAAGACGTGTATGTATTCCCATTATCATTTATTTTTTCAGCCAAATAATTTGAACTCACTTTAGTTTACACTTATTGAGATCATAGTTGGGCTTTGAAAATTATAGATGGCAGTCGGCATGTCAGACCGGGCTTATCAATCTGATGGCAGAGCAGAAATGAAGGTATACTGTCTTGCAACTGGTTTCCTAGGGTGACTCAGACCCAGTTCCCAAATATATAGGCATAGAAATGAGGGAATGAATATGCAAAATGGATATTTATTGATGTTTCTTTAGTTTTTGTTATTAGTGGTCCCATGATTCATGTATGTATTATTTGTATGCTATATCATTTAAATGTACCTTTAATGGTTTCTCCAAACAAAAATTATTGTATCTGCAATGCTTCCTCTGAATTATTTCTTATTGTTTCCATTCAACAGGCTTTAAACCGGTGGGGATACTATCCCCTCATCCTGATAGGAGCATGGGCTTTTGGCACAATCAACCGAATTCATGACTTTATTGAACCAGGTCATAAAATATTTTGGCTCTCACTTCTTGATGTTGGGACATCTGCACTTATGGTAATTTTTTGGTTTGTATAATGGGCAATTTATTATTCCAAGAGCATTGTTTGTAACTTAATGCTGTCTAATTTACTAATTTATGGCTTATCCTCATGAATATAGGGCCTGTTCAACTCAATAGCCTATGGCTTGAACTCCTCAGTGCGACGGGCAATATATGAAAGGTTGGATCTGTAAGTCTCAATTGCTTCTTTTTTTTCCCTTTCCATTATCTATGTCTCAAGGGCAGTAGGCAATATTTGACTTTATTGTCATCACTCTTGTTCAAAATGATGAATTATTCTTAAATGAATGGTTGTGTTTGGAAATTATTAGGTTTTGGCCAGACAGACTTCAAAGATGGTTCCCAAACAGTTCAAGGTTTAGAAACCAACAGCAAGAGAGTGAACTAGTGGCACTGAAAATTGAAGATCAGCACTAGCAAGTTGGACATATTTTATCTGCACCTGCCAAATTTTTCAACATTTCCTCATTAAAATTTGACCTGGGACGGAATTAAGAAATGAAAGAGGAACACATCGACGTACATCAGTGCAAAGTCAACTGCATTCATTTCTCTCTGGCGATTCGAACACGACTAACATCTTCAAACTCTACTTGTTCCATAATGAGACTGATTGAAATTGTTTTGTGATAGATGTGTCCATAGAGGGTTGTTTCAAGTAGAAGAATCTTGTGTAGAAGCTGTGATTGTGCAAATATTGATCCATTAAGCTGTACTATTTTACCTATAGAGAAAAGGCTGGAATGGTCTTTGTCTAGGCATTTTATTTCGTTCCAATTTTTTCATAGTTATGTATTTGATTTAGGTACTTGAATATTTTTTCCTAGTTTTAGAATAGGAAATGCCTTTGGGCACTTCCAGCGGAAGGCCTTTTGCCCGGGCAGGACAGGGCTTAGCCCACAAAGATAGTTCCAATGCCAAAGGAAAGCCTGGGCTAGTTTGTGGCCCACCAATCTGGGCAAGGCCTCAGGCAATCAGTCCGTGCTTTTGTCTGGACAAGTAATGTAAGGCTGGCGTTATAATAATGTCAATCAATTTAAATAACAAAAAAATTGAAAGAAAAAGAAAAAAATAAAAAAGGAAAAAAAACCGAAAAATTTATAATTTTTTTTTATAAATACATAGTCATATTCTTTACTTCTCACATCAAAACTCTATAGTAACAACCCTTGCCTACCCATGCCCCTGACTATGGTAAATGGGTGGAAGTGCTCTTACAAGCCCGGGCTCAGACTTATTGCGTCCATAGTTTCTGTCCGAGCTTCTTCCCTAGTGTTATCCAAAACGACAATGCAACCTCTGTCGTATCTAAGAAATCCTCATTTCATTTCCGCCCTAAACACCAAGCAGAAATCCAACCCGTCAGTGCCAAAACGACAGCCACAAGCTGGCCTCTTCCACTAAACGCCACCGTCGCTGGCACCAGCAAGTACCCAATGGCAGGGTTCCCCCCGAATACTTTCCTCTTGCGCCGGCTCTCAGGCTTCACAATTTACTGTCCTGACTTTGATTGGTATTTACCTTTTTTACCACAATAATTTTGACCAAAGTGTTCCTTCTGCTTAGAAATTAAGCACAAATCACAACCATTCAGATTTTATATAGTAAGAAAATTACATTACAGATTCATAGAGAAAACGGAAAATCGGCGAAGCAAATTGCAAGCTTTTGATCGTATCTAAAATCTAAACAATCTATATCTACGCACAAGCGCAAGGATTATCAACCACAGTTGCCGCCACGTCATCGTCCCCGCTCCTAAACGCCAAGTAGCCAATCGCGAGCCCCACAACGATAGCCACAAACACGCCTCCGTTAAACGACATGACCGCCAGCATCAGCAGGTACCCGATCGCCGCGTTCACCCCGAAAAGCACGGCTCCACCAAGCCGGGCCGCCGAGAACCTCCCTCCGGCGCCGCCGAGCTTCGCGCCGAGCAGCGGAGTTTGGATCGGCGCCGGCGAAGAGTCTTTCGCGGCCGACGATGACGCGATCTTGAGCCGCACGCGGAGGTCCTCGAGGTACTGGTAGAAGGCCGAGACGATGAGGCAGGCGATTAGCGTGAGGGAGTAACTCGTCCATGAAGTGGTCCGCCAAGAGTCGATCAGGATTGTCACGTCCTTGCTCCAGTAGAAGGTCATGTGCATCATCTTCGCTTCGATTTTGGGGACGATGGAGTTTGGAGAAGAAGACTTGCGAAGACGGGTAAGAAAGAAATTTGATTATTTTTTCCTTTTTTTTCCTTTTTTTTCGATTTTTCTATCGCTTGTTTATGAATTTTTGATCCGTTGGTGTGTGTAGTACAACTACTTTGTTGGGTACGATGGGGATGTGTGGGTTTAGGAAATGCCCTCGGAAGTTTCTGTTATTACGGTTTTGTCTCATTGGAATCTTGTGGGGCTTTTTTTCTGTGGGCAGTTTATTGGTCTTGATTCATTTGGAATAACAGTGTTTGGAAGGGTTAGTTTGGAATTTAGAAGATATGGGCCAGCTAAGCGTCGTTTGAATCGAAACTTTATAGTTGGACGATGCAATGGAAAACCAATCATGAAAGCTGATTTTGACTGGTTGTTGGTAAATATTTGAACTAACTATAATTTTTAGTTACTCTACTTTGCAAATTACATAAATTTTTATTTGTTTCATGTATTCATTTAATTTATTCATAGAAAATAAACATAAATTAATTTGTTTCCTGTATGATAATTTATTTTATTGATATATGGGATAGAAAAATAAAATAAAATAAGGGAGATTTACTATTATATATAGTATAGGAGTCCAAATTATATATGAAATGGACTTTAAAAACATACCAAGGCTCATTTACAACATAACAAAGAGGCTTTAAACTTCCTATAAATTACAAAACTGCTATCAATTTCTTAAAACAAACCCAACCTCAAAGCCTCATAAATAAAAAAAACCAAAACACTCAATAGGGCATCAAAGTAATTTAATAATCAAAATTCAATTCAATATGGGCACTTGCCATTTTTTGAGTTTTTTTTTATAGGTTTGTTTATATATTTTTACTCACCACGGTAAACTCATCACCTTTCTTACTACTTGACACGTGTCAATTAACATAACCATAATTAATTCTTTACTTTGTATTTATGGAACTATGGTTGTGCCCATGGACACGTGTCAAATATTGAGAATGATGATGAGGGTATACATTTGGTTTAAGTGATGAGCAAAAATACTCCCAAAATTAAATGGTGTAGAATTAATCAATATCACTAATGCTAAGAATGAATATATAACTAAATATTTCATAAAATAAAGTACAAAATGTAGTACAATTGAAATGAATCAAAGATAGTAAAGATGTACTGCAGACAGTACACATAGCCTTCCCATTACTTGGTTCCGTACCCTAATTCGCCTTGGGCTTAGGACAACCACTCCCTATATAAAAAACAACAGCATTGACAATTCAAAAGACTATGTCAATGTTGCCATTACTTGGCGCACGGTTTTTCTTTCGCAACATTGACATAGTCTTCCTCCAAGAGCTTTAGTTGGGCTTAGGACAACCAAACTCCCTATATCAAAAACAACAGCATTGATGATTCAAAAGAAAATTTCATGAATAGTCTGTGGCGATTTCATAACCTTGAGAGTGAATAGGACTGCCTGAACCGAGAAACGACTGAGGAAGGCCACAACTGCTGGCTGTTGGAGATATATTAAGGCTGCAAATAGAACACCTGGTACAACAGTAAATTGTTGGAAAAACAATTATCAATGACTGATTAAAACAATTATATAAACAGAATATATAACAATCTGTACCACAAAATACAATATATTAACAATAAATAAAACTAACTTGAATTTGAGATAGAGGCTTGCAGATTTGATGCAATGTCCTAAAGACAGTAATTTCACCCCTTCTCGGTGCTTGAAGTTCTACAGGTGACTGCCTCCCAGGATTCAACTATCTATATTCTAAGCCCTAGCACTCGGACTTAGAATCTGGCGAACGTTGTTTGTTTTCCTCTCAGACAATATGAAAATGCTTGTAGAATGCTTTTTTTCTGTATCTAACGTATGAGGCTTTGTTTGATTTAAATAAACTTCTGAAACCTTATCAGAAGAGTCACAACTGTTAGAAAACAGTTAATAAAACTAATCCGAATTAATAAAAATTATTAATTCGAAACCAAAAAATAATTTTAAATCTGAAAGTGCCCCAAGGCCCAAGGCCCATCTTTTTGACCATTAAATATTATATTTTTATATAATATTCAAAGCCCAAATCAATTTTGAAGCCCAAATTGCTTCCACTTGGCCTACTTCCATTTACTAAGTGTGGCACTTCCACACTTATAAGGACCTCACTCTTTCTACTTTCTATCAATGTGGGACAAAGGTTCTTGAATTTAATTCAAACTTCCAACATAAATAGCATAAATAATCAAAGAAATTGTATTAGTAACCAAAAATTAGAGCAGTTGAGAGAGAGAGAGAGAGAGAGAGAGAGAGAGAGAGAGAGAGAGAGACGGATTCGTACCATTTATGATGCTCTGCACAAAGAAGATTAGAAAGTATGGGAATGGGACTGAAAAGTGGAGAAGAAGGGAAGAGGTAATAAAGAAAAAAAAAAAAAAAAAAAAAAAAAAAAAGGAACTGCACGATGGTGCAGAGTTTTTAAATTGCTTTTTAATTCTGTTTATTTGTTCTATTGATAGAGAGAACCTGCATAAGCTGTGACAACAACATCTAGGAAGGGGATTTTCTTTTGTGCAGAACGAGCCTAGAGTTGTAGTAAGAATGAGAGGCGTAGAAGTCAGAGAGGGACATGTTGATGCAGCTCAGCCCCATCTTCCCGAACCTGGTATCGAAGTCAAGAACCACACCAACATTAACTGGGGTGGTCTTCGTGTTCTGTGCCTTGGCCAAGAAAGTAGACCAAAACAGTAAGAACAAGAAGCAGAGACAAAAAACAGGGTTGCAGCTAGCATTCTTAACCATGTTTGAAATTCTTCAAGGTTCTGCTTTGCTACTGATGGAATCGAGTAACGAGGAATCTTGTTTATATACACACACACACGCACACACTTGAATAATGTCAAATTGTCAATGTTTGAGTTTGGTTCATTAATTTGTTCCATCTAAATTGATTTTCTAACATCAATGGGGCTGGGACGAGTCTGAAGCCAGGAACATTCAAAGTAGGGATGACAATTTTCCCCACGAGTAAGAGTCTTCGCGGGAATTCGACCCTAATGGGTCGGGTATGAAGGATAAAAAACTAGTATGAGGATGGGTACGGGGAATTTTTTGGGTATGGTGTTGGGGAAGGGGCGGGGATGGTTTTTTAATCCCCGACCCGAACCCAGTGGTTGTGCCGACTAAATTTTATATTTCCTATTTTTATATTATATATTTATATAATTTATACGAATCTTAAGTTGCACTACTTATATATTTAGTTAAGTTCTAGTCAATATGTAAACATTCTTATATTGTCTTATACGTATATATATATATATATATATATATATTATATTCATTATCTTGCCCTAATTCTATTTTTTTTCTTTCAACAAAATAGTTTTATATTGGTTTTTTCTTCCGTAATGGGGCAAGTCGGGGAACCCATTCCCCAACGAAGGTGGGGATGGGGAATCCCCGATATGAATATTGCGGATATGAAGGCGTGTATGGGGAAAAAAGCTTAACAAGGATGAGGATGGGAATGGCATACCCACCCCCAATTCGACCCATTGCCATTCCTAATTCAAAGATATGCATAAAAGAAACATTCATATTGCTTAGCTTGCTCATCAAGTGTAATGTGTGTGTGGTGGCCTACCAAGGCACACACTCTTCATCTTGTGTTTACCAAAAGAAGAACATCTTCAAGTTTAATAGCCAAAACCCGATTAAGAGAAAAATATGCCAAGAAACACAACACAAGCATGTATTTTAAACAAAATTTCAAATCAAAATAACTAATAAGAAGAAAGAACTTATACATTTAGATTGATGTCAATGAACAAAACCTGGTCTTCAACCAACCATCCCCTCAATCACAATGTTAAATAAGAGAATTAGCCCCCACTGCATTGATCAAAAATTAGCTAATCAAAACTAATTAAAAAAATTTTAAAAAAACCTAATTGAATTAGTTAAACCCAATTTCCACTAAACTTACCACCACTATCTTCTAGCTACTACTACCAATCATTATTAGTTTTTCTGAATCAACTACTTCCTTTCACCACCGGCGCAAAGCAGCTCTTCGACCTCGAAAGAGCGGGTTGGCAACCCAACCCCTCTTTTTTCAGGGAGTTCAAAGTCCGTTGCAAAAGCTGCTTCATTGCCGATATCAATTCCTCAGTAGACTTCGTCGGAGGGCTCGACAACCGAAACTCCTCACGAAAACTAGCGTGCCGTTTCATGGCCTCCTCGTCACTGAGGCCCCTATGCGACCTTGAGTTCTCTTCCTTGATAGCCTCCGCACAAAGTCCGCAAATCCAACGCCCATGTTGCCGCTCCTTCACCATGGCTATGTACTCCGGCGTGCATTCCTCCGTCAACCCGCAACAATAGCACTTCACCAACTCCTCTTCCACCGCTGATTGAGCTGCAGTTGGACTCCCTGGCTGCGACGCCTCCATAGCCGAAAATTCGAGAGAGAGAAAAAAAAAACTTAAACAAAGAGTCTTTGTATCGACCGCACGATTATCTCTGAACCTGATTTCTTTTTCTCTGTTTTTTTGTTTGTTAATGAAATAAGTTTTTTGGCTGCTCTTATATAGAGCTCTTTTGAAGTCCAAACATGGAATTTTCATATTGTTATGGAATTTGGATTTTCCCAAATCCCTAATCATTGCCTTGTTTGGGCCGTTGTGATTTTGTTTCCCTTTTTTCTTTTAGCTAAGTTTCAAAGAAGTTTCTCTGCACTTTTTTTGGGGAACTACAATTTGATTGGACTTTGGAAAATACAAAATACAAAATCTGTAAGGATTCGTACGCGTCTTGTTGGTAAAATTCTAAATGCTAAAGATTCAATTTGAACTGTTGCCACTTTCTCCCATCTTGTTGGTGCACTCATCTTTGTCAATTTATAAATCGCTGTTTTTAACTTTCAATATGTTTAATTAGTTAGAAGTTGATGTCACTGGAGGGATAATTTCTTGGAAATTACGCTGCCTCGAGTTACAAATTTTAACCTTTTCTTTTAAAGAATCTCGAATCTATTAATTAATTGGAAGTCGGATCTCTTCTGGAAACTCAATCTAAATGTAGTCATTCTTTCCTACTGTTCTTAGACTTTGCTTATTCTTCTTCCTTTTTTTATTATTTTATTTTATTTTACTTTATATAGCCTTAATTTGGTTATACTCGTATTCAAATGTACTAGTCTTTCTTACCGAACAGATTTTTGTAACTTTGGACTTAAAATTTGTTATTGAGTTTATAAAATTGGATTCAAGTAGGATACCAAACAAACTCTTAATAATCGCACTGGAACTCCTGTGCTTTCTAGTCGTTAGCAACTGTCAAGATGTGCTTATTACAAAAGTAATAAATCCAGCCACCCCCTAAAAAAGTCCTTATTCTAACACAATTCCCCGAAAAGCTACATTTTCACAAGAGCTAGAATCCAAGGTGGAAATACAGTACAAGTTCATACTTTGAACCCTAGGATGGAAAATTAAGATTAAATTACCTTTAGGCTTTCCATGCCTATTAACGCAATTGGAGGAGCTTCCAGCTGAAGCTCGCATGACACAATCCCTATAACTGAGGGACCTCGTCCCAAACACCCTTTTCCATCTACCGCTCTATTCGACGATACGAGACGGTTTGGCCACAATTGCAGGTCGACATTTTCCCATTCTTCAAGTTCTGGTCAGGAATTGATCAGAAACAAACAAAGGAGGGGAGAGCAAAATAAGGAGAAATAGAATGGGAGATTCACTATTATACCCAATATGAGGGCTCAAATTATAAAAATACCCCATATGAAATGGACTTTAGAAACACACCCAAAGCCCATTTACAACATGACAAAAAAGCTTTTAACTTCTTATAAATAACAAAACTGCCATCAATTTCTTAAAACAAGCCCAACCCCAAAATCTCATAAAAATACACAAAACACTCAATAGGGCATCAAAGTAATTTAATAATCAATATTAAATTTAATAAGGTCAGCTGTCATTTTTTGGGTTTGTTTATATAAATTCAATTGTGTAGAGTTTATTTATAATATTAGTACTAGAAATGGGTATATCACTAAATATCTCAAAGGCTTAATTATGTACATGCCCCCTGTACTTTCCAACTTATCTCAGATTACCACCTGTGGTGGAAAACGTCTCAAAGTACCCCCCAACGTGCAAAAAACTGTCTCACGTTACCCTTTCTGTCAGTTTTTTTGAAGTTCCGTTACGAATATTACTGTTCATCTCCCCCAAAATTCCAAAACAGTAGCCCCTCCCCTTTGTTACTGTTCATCGCTTATTTACCCTCCAAAACTCAGAAATTTCTCCTAACCAACACAACTAGCAGCAAGAACAACTCGAGAGGTTGAAAAATCATACCTGGATCGAAGAAAATGGTGCTCGGAATCGCCCGAACGAGCAATAGAGATTTTGGGTAAAAACCGGCCAATTTCTTGCTTTTTTCGGTGATCCAGACGACGGTTGGCAGCGGCTGAGATGTGAGGGTGGTAGAGGACAACGTGCTGGTTCTTTTGATATCCATGTCGTCGCTTGGGGTGGACGGAGGAGGCGATGGCAGCCCAAAAACTGGTGCGATGAACAGTAACAAATGGGAGGAGCTGCTGTTCTGGAATTTTGGGGGAGATGAACAGTAACGTTCGTAACTGAACTTCAAAAAAACTGACGGAAAGGGTAACGTGAGACAGTTTTTTGCACGTTGGGAGGTACTTTGAGACGTTTTCCACCACAGGTGGTAATCTGAGATAAATTGGAAAGCACAGGGGGCATGTACATAATTAAGCCTATCTCAAATATAAATTGGGCTTTCGGTAACGTAACGACCCGATTGCATCAATGTTTTTTTTTCACTTTCTAGGCTTTCGTAATGGCCTATTTGTTTGGCTTCTTCTGGAAGAAGAGGGATACTTTATGTGTCCGAATCTGGTTAAGCGATTCTCTTACTGATTCTTCCATTTGCCCCAGTTGTCGTACACTGGTGATCGAATCTTGAATGATGAAAAATCATACCGGTACCTGAGTTTGCACGCTTACCTCGATTGTTTGAGAACTGAAACAAGAATAAAATAAAAATACGTTCAATGTAATTACAAATTTTCTTAAGCCAGTATGCAATTACGCATACCTTGTACCCAAAAACTCTTGTATATTCACATCATGATCTGACATCTTGAATGTTTTCTTCAGTGCCTAAATTCTCAACGAGAAAACAACAAAATTATGTACCCATGTCCTCGGCCCAAGCTCGCCCACACGGGCCGGCCCTTTCAAGCTTGCCTAGACATATTAGATTAGATTGGATTGCACTAGACTAGATTAAGCCCATCATATATATAGTCATTATTTTGTTCTTTACTGTCAATTTATTCATTTTATTTTTATTTTTGTCGACCAATTCCTCTTAGCATTCATTTCATATAACATTCAAATTCTAATTGTATTCAAATTCAAATGGCACAAGTGATTGGCTGTTTGTAACTTTTCCCCAAATGTTTTCACATACTAATCATTATATTTAAATGTATTATAAAGATAACATATTAAGCATTATTAATAAATAAATTAATATAATAAATATTAGCATACCTGAAATATTTTTAGAATATTGAATAGATCTTATTTATAATATTTGCGGGTTTGGATGGGCTTAGGGAGCTAGATTGGATCATAATGGGCCTAAATGGATCAGATCTTGGGCTAAGCATGGGTTTTAAACTCTTAACTTAAACCCTACCCATCAAATAAATGATTTGGCCGGCCCGTCCATAGCTATGGATAGCTATGGACTGGGTCGGGCTTTGATTCATTTTTGCCCCGGGGGAAATACCATCTATCAATTATTTACAACAATTAGTATTACAAAAATGGCATACAATAGCATTTGCTTGTACAAGAGGAAATTTCAGTTCCCATTCCCAACACTCACCACCAATAGCCATGTATAATAGCTTTCGAGGTCGAACCTTTAGGAAGAGTCTATTTATGTAGTCAAATGTGCAATGAAATACCCCATGTAAGGTTGATGGAGAAGGCTGCATCAGTTAAAATAACACGGTTAAGACATAGAGCTCTAACAGAAAATACATGAAGAATTTTATAGACGAGCAAAATTAAAGAAAACTCATGTTCTAAAATTTTGACTTCAAAAGATTCTAAGAAAATTTTCACTCCACTAAAATGGGGCATTGTAGTCAAACAATCAAAGTATACAATTCACTCTCTTCCCGCTCTTCCTCTTCCACCAAACTCCATGGTGTTTAGAAGTTTCCTCCTCAGGCTCCAGCTCCTGATGACAGCCAGGGTGCTCTGACTCCACCCCTAGCATAGTCGGACGACTCAGTGAATTTGAAGCCTGGTTGATAGATTGATAGACTATGAGCTTTCGCCACCACTAACATGAAGTTCTTTTTTCATAGGTAAATAAAAGTTATAATTTTCTTTTTGGGGTTTTGGTATGGGTATATATATTGTGAAAGAAACCAATGTTGCTTACGTTTGGTTCATGGACGCGTCTACAAGTTTTTTGGGTTATGGTATGGGTATGTTGTGAAAGAAACCAATGTTGCTTCTGCTTTTTTGGGACGCATCTTCTTTCTCCTTTCTTTCCAATTTTTCCTTTTTCATACCCACCGGACTGAAATTTTCCGCGAGAACCCAAATGACAAAGATAGTGTTTTTGAGTCTCCCACCACTGCCACAAACCAAACCTCTTCCAATGTCCCCGTTGCCTCTCAACAGAGACAAAATTTTCGCACTACAACAACATATGTATCGATCAACCAAGACGTGTTTGCAAACTCGCAACTGCAACTGGACCGCCGGTGGTAAAGTCCGCGACGTGTCGGTCCGCTGCGGCTATCGCAAGAAGAAGACACGAAGCTCCGGTTGTTCCTCTCCCTCTCCCTCTGTGGGCCTTTTGTTCTATGTTTTGGATCTGGTTTATTATTTGAAGGACCTTTTATTTTAGGCATTTCCACAAATAAGCTCATTTTAACATAACATATTATACAAAAAGGTTTTTAACTTTGCCTCGAGTTTCAATTAGGTCTCACAACTTTTTTTATTTTTAGGCAATTACATCCGTTAACTTGACAAGTAGTTTTAATTGGGTCTGGTTTGTTATTTGAGGGACCTTTTATTTCAGGCATTTCCACAAATAAGCCCATTTTAACATAACATATTATACAAAAAGGTTTTTAACTTTGCCTCGAGTTTCAATTGGGTCTCACAACTTTTTTTATTTTTAGGCAATTACATCCATTAACTTGACAAGTAGTTTTAATTGGGTCATACCATCCAAGTCTGGCAATTTGTCCATCAAAATGAGGGCTAAAAAGCGTCCTTTCGAGTTCAAGAGTCTCTTAAGCTGACCTAGTCAACTTCCCTCCATAGGTTGTTAGAAATCCCCAAATGAAGAAACCTAAGCGAGCTTAGTATCCCAATTCGCACCTTAAGGTAAAATGTCGGAGATCTCGACAGATTCAAATCACAACTATCATAACTGCAAGTGTGGGTAGAAAATCAAACGCCAGACTTCATGGACGAATCTAAATCCTAGAAGAAGATTTGAGGCATGTTGGAATAATTAGGTCAATTTTAGCATTTCCAGTAGATTGGCTGAAGTAAAAATATGATTTTGTTGGATATGAAATTGGTGTTTGGTTTTGTTTCAATTGCAGAACACCAAAATGGGGATGCATTTTTTTTGTTTTCTTCAGTGGGTGGAGAATGAAACATGTCCACGAGGAAAGGAAATCATGCATGGGTTACTTAGAAGACTGAGAGGAATGAAGGACGAGTTGAGAGCAACATAGGAGAATTACGGTATTAGCATCACCACCCCAACGGAACTCAAACTCTTCCATCACAATTTGACAAAAAGACGAAAAACCCAAATATCCCCAAAATAGAATCCAAACCCTTAATTGTAGCCCCCCCCCCTCTCTCCCAAAATCAACCCTAGGAACCAATTAGAAAATGACAAGTGGCTAGTTTTGTGTTTTTCTCCAAATGGGCTTTATATGAGTTTTTGTATAATATGTCATGCTAAAATGGGATTTTGAATAAATATTTCTTTATTTTATATTATTTTGTATGTAACACATCATTGTGATTTTAGATGAAGTATTTTCGACCAAAAAATTTATATTTAGAAAAAACCCACAAAGGGGTTTTCATTATTTTTCTACGTTTTTTTTTAATAATAAAAAAGTCATATAGAGGGCATTGACATGATCAAATTTAGTTGTGATTTCTTTATTTATTTTTATCCGAATACAATGGTGTTGTCTTGCTCATCACTATGTAAAAATATTTCTTGTTAAAAATCGGAAGAGGACTAACAAAGTTTGAGGCAGCTAAGGGAAAAGCCGAACCTCTCACACTTTGATTTGTTAAAAAACTTGGACTAAATTAACATGAGTTGATAATACAAGACTAATGATCTATAGCTTATAGCTTAATAGCTTAGGTAGCTAGTACTACTCATTTGAAGGTGGCAGCTGATGAAAGAAATACACCACAACCCAGGCCACAAGACAAGAAGGGAGGTAAAAACTAAGGTTACATCTACCATTTCTTCAGACACATATCCTAGAAGTTCAATTTCAGTGGCATATAGTATTGGAGAGCTAGACTATTTACAAAAGCTATCGAAGCTAAAAACTTGGAGCCAAACAATGACAAATTGTCCACAGGCGGCCTTAGCAAGCAACACAATTCTAACATTGGGCAGAGCATACACTAAACTTGAAAAATTGCAAAGCACAAATCCAATGGTTGAAACGTTATTGGAAACATTGTTTCAGATAAGCAACATAAAGACTTCAGCCCAACAATCCAAACACACATTCATTTCTTCACGCAAGACCTTTAAGTTCAATGATGAATCACTTCTTCAAACACAATCCTAAAATTAAAAAATTGTCAAAAAAGGAAAAATATAAACAAAAAAACAGAAAAATTCAAAAATTCAAAAAAAATGAAAGAAAAAAAGAGAGCCATAAATAAGATGAATATGCATGCATGGTTAACCATCACTCAACTATGAATGTTGCGATTGCCACTGCTGCGGCTGCTGCCCGAGTTGCAGCTCTTGCCCAAGGCCAAGATGCCGTTGTCCAGAGAGTAGTTTCTTCAATGTCACGGGAAACTATTATCTGGAAATAGTTACTGGTCAACTGCACGAGCCTCATCACTCTGACATCCTCATGAACTTGAGGGAAACAATGCAGAGTGATACAGCCATGGATCATATCATGCCTCGTTGTGAACGCCTTTGTTGACTCTGTCGTGGTCGGTATCCTCAAGCTTTATTGGAGGAGTTGGCCAGTAAAATTCAGCATATGTAATTGTGGTATTTTCCCTAAGCTGTTGTTAAGTTTTCAACTCGTACAATCAGCATATGTAATTGTTGTTGCATTTTCCTTAATTCTCTAAGTTGTTGTTGGGTTTTTAACTCTTACATTCAACATATGTAATTGTTGTTGCGTTTTCCTTAATTCCCCGAGTTGTTGTTGGTTTTTTAACTCTTACAATCAGCATATGTAACTGTTGTTGCGTTTTCTTTAATTTCCTCAGATGTTGTTGGGTGTTTAAGTCTTATAATAAGCATATGTAATTGTTGTTAAGTTTTCCATAATTCCCGAAGCTGTTGTTGGGCTTTTAACTCTGAATTGTTGTTGAGTTTCTAACTCTTAATCATCACCCAACTATAACTGCCGCAATTGTCGTTCATACGACTGTTGCCCGAGCTACAACTTTTGGCCAAGGTCAAGCCGCCGCAACTCCATCGGAGGGGAGTTTCTTCATTGCCACCAGCAACCATTGCCTGAAAATAGCTACAGGTCAACTTTACGGACCTCATCACTCTACCATCCTCATGGAGTTGAGGGAAACAATACAGAGCGATGCGGCCATGGATCACATCATGCCTTGCCATGAATGTCTTCGTCAACTCCGTTATGGTCGGTATCCTCAAACCTTATTGGAGGAGTTGGCCGGTAGAGTTCCGTGTATGGAATTGTTGCGTTTTCCCTAAGATGTTGTTGAGTTTTTTCAACTCTTACAATCAGCATATGTAATTGTTGTTGCGTTGTCCCTAATTCCTAATGTTTTTGTTGGGTTTTTAACTCTTACATTTAGCATATGTAATTGTTGTTGTGTTTTCCCTAATTCCCTAAGTTGTTGTTGGTTTTTTAATTTATAAAATCATCATATGTAATTGTTGTTTCTTTTTCCTTAATTTCCTCAGCTGTTGTTGGGTTTTTAACTTTTACACTAAACATATGTAATTGTTGTTGAGTTTTCCCTAATTTCCTAAGCTGTTGTTGGGTTTTAAATCTTATAATCACCCTGTAATTATTGTTGGATTTTTAACTCTTAACCATCACCCAATTATGACTGCTGCGGTTGTTGCCCGAGATGTTGCTCTTGGCAAAGGCCTAGCATCCACATCTTCACCGTAATTTCATATGTTGTTGGTGGGTTTTTAACTATTATTATAATTATCTCATAATTGTTATTAAGTTTTTAACTATTATAATCAGCCCGTAATTGAAAAAAGGAAATTTTGAAAAATAAAAAATTGAAAAAAATGAAAGAAAAAAGGGAGTTATAAATAAGATGAATATGCATGCATGGTTAATCATCACCTAACTATGAATGTTGCCATTATCGCTGCTACGGCTGCTGCTCGAGCTTCCACTTTTGCACAAGGCCAAGCCGCCACTGATGGGAGTTTCTTCATTTGTCATCGACAATCATTGTCTGGAAATAGCTACCGGTCAACTACTCGGGTCTCGTCACTCCGCCATCCTCATGGAGTTGAGGGATACAATACAGAGCGATGCTGCCATGGATCACATCATGCCTCGCCGAGAATGCCTTCGTTGACCCTGTCGTGGTCGGTATCCTCCAACCTTATTAGAGGAGTTGGTCGGTAGAGTTCAGCATACAAAACTGTTACGTTTTCCCGAAGATGTTGTTGAGTTTTTTCAACTCTTACAATCAACATATGTAATTGTTATTGCATTTTCCCTAATTCCTTAAGTTGTTGTTAGGTTTTTAACTCTTACATTCAACATATGTAATTGTTGTTGCGTTTTCCTTAATTCCATAAGTTGTTGTTGGATTTTTAACTCCTACAATCAACATATATAATTGTTGTTGTGTTTTTCCTAATTTCCTATGTTGTTGGTGGGTTTTTAACTATTATTATAATTATCTCATAATTGTTATTGAGTTTTTAACCCTTATAATCAGCTCGTAATTGAAAAAAGGGAAAAAAGAAGAAGGATAAAATGAAAGAAAAAGAGAGTTATGAATAAGATAAATATGCATGCATGGGTAACCATCACCCAACTATGAATGTTGCGATTGTCGTTGCTACGACTGCTGCTCGAGCCTCCACTTTTGCCCAAGGCCAAGCCGTCACTGATGGTAGTTTCTTCATTTGCCACCGACAACCATTGTCTGGAAATGGCTATCACCCAACTTCACGGGTCTCGTTACTCTGCCATCCTAATGGAGTCGAGGGATACAATACAGAGCGATGCTGCCATGGATCACATCATGCCTCGCCATGAATGCCTTCGTTGACCATGTCGTGGTCGGTATCCTCCAACCTTATTGGAGGAGTTTGTTGGTAAAGTTTAGCATACGAAATTGTTACGTTTTCCCTAAGATGTTGTTGAGTTTTTTCAACTCTTACAATCAACATATGTAATTGTTGTTGCGTTATCCTTAATTCCTTAAGTTGTTGTTGGGTTTTTAACTCTTACATTCAGCGTGTGTAATTGTTGTTGCGATTTCCTTAATTCCGTAAGTTCTTGTTGGGTTTTTAACTCTTACAATCAACCTATGTAATTGTTGTTGCGTTTTTCCTAATTTCCTAAGCTATTGTTGGGATTTTAACTCATACAATTAACATATGTAATTGTTATTATATTTTCCCTAATTTCCTAAGTTGTTGGTGGATTTTGAACTATTATTATAATTATCCTATAATTGTTATTGAGTTTTTAACTCTTATAATCAGCTCGTAATTGAAAAAATGAAATATTGAAAAAAGGGAAAAAAGAAGAAGGAAAAAATGACAGAAAAAAAGATAGCTATAAATAAGATGAATATGCATGCATGGTTAGCCTTCACCCAACTACAAGGATGAAATTATCGGCGATACAAATATTATCGTGCCTTCAATTTACGGATATTTGTGGGGACATATCGATGTCATTTTAGGTATCTGGAAAAATCGAAAAAAAAGACTTATAATGGCTTAGAAACCCGGAATTTTGAAGTGAAACTTTCATAAATATTAAGCACATTATCAACGAATGTATTGAACTACTAATTTTCAAAATATACGAAGTATAAGATATGCATATGATGATGTACATGTATATATAATGCGTGATGAAAATCCTGAAAATAAATATAATTAGACTTACACAATAAAGACAACATTATTCAAACATAACCCGACCCAACTCATTAGTACATAACCCAACATTATATAACAAGAATAAGACTTAATGATAAAGGAAATGAGGGATAGAAGATTAGGTGAAAAATAAAATCAAACACACAAGAAAACGATCAACTAGAGAGAGGAGAGGAAGAGCCAAAGATAACCGAAATGACTGAGAAGAGAAGAAAGGAGAAGCTACTAAGTATTAGAGCTTGGTTTTTGACATTGATTCAGTGGCTGGGACCTATAATTACTTTTAAAACTAAAGACAAATTTCTGGGTTATTTGTCTGGTATCGGAAAATATCAGTAAATATCGGTAAATATCGAGGATATATCGCCGATAAGGGGGAAGAAATAGGCTTACCCCCTTGTATCTGTATCGACACCTAAGAAAAGGGATACATCGGCCGATGTATGTAGTCTTGCAGAGGGACATGTTTGAGCTCCTTGGTTGTCTTATTTTTCGCCGTCAAGAAATTCACTGTATCCCACAAATTAGCTCCAAGATGTAGTTCAAATTCGGATGGTTTATTTTGGCCGTCATACTTCCCATACTGAAAACCTACTCAAATCAAATACTTGGTGCCATAAGTAATGTTTATTTTGTAGCAATTCCTCACTACTTGAGGGAAGCTCTTAAGGTACCAGTATGGCTGATAATAGTTCAAATAGCCGATAAGTACTTGTACTTGCTTTCACAACTGTCTATGAAGGTCAAGTATGAAGTATCGTTAATGCCTGTTGTGGTTTTAGTGTAGTTATCTTTGGGGTTTTGAACCTCTGTCCACATGAATGTAGGTGAAAAGGTCAGTTAATTGAGTTATATCCCATTGACACTAATTATATAATTTTAATATAACACACATAATTATTTTTTTTCTTATTGAAGTTTCATAGAGCCAGCCAACCCACTTTACAAGCACTTTATAACATTGGAAAAAATGACGCTATAATTTAAAATTAAATAATAAAATGGCATACATCTAATACATTTTATGGTATGCATTGCGATTTTATGATTTGCACATGCGAAGTTTGCTTATTAGTTTGATGCAATTTTTTTATATATAAAAAGCAATATCTCCTCTATCGAGTACTTCATCATGAAACAATACCTCAAATAAGGTGCTTACAATGACAACATTTCATCATTAAGTTTGTTCTCTCTTTAAACAAACAAAGGTTAGGGGTCCGCTAAGAGTGTCATTAGGATTATGATATGCCAATTTTCAGCTATATATTATGCGTTTCAACTTATGATACATGTGATCTCCCTCGACATTTTGTTTCCAAATAAACCACCTTTTTCTTCACAAAGCAAACAAAACTACAACCACCATATAGCCACCATATTACAAAATGACCAACATTTTAATCATAAGTTTTATAAAATTATTTACGCAACTATCTAGTTATTGTTATAAAATCTTATATTTATTATAGCGAAATTTGCATAAATACCATATAACTTTTAGGTATGTGCAAGATTATCACTTGAATTTTTAATTTTTACTATTAACCACTTGAACTTCATAAAGTGTTGCAATATATCACCTATGTCTAACTCTGTTAAACTTTCCGTTAAGTTTAAAGGCATTTTCGTTAATTCAATATAGTGAAAAAATTTAATATTTTAAAACTAACAATTAAAAACAAAACTTAATCAAAGTCTCTCACGACTTCCCCACCCCTTCTAACACCAATTCTCCCCCATCCTCTGCATATATACACTCTACTCCATATCTTCAAAGAAGACTTAAGTGCTTGGTTGTATTTCTATTTTGTAATTATCTTTGAGTTTCTTTTGGGTTGAAAAGTTTTTGGATTGTTGGATGGAGAGAGAGTACTTGCAATATGAAAGTTTTTTTTGCTCGAAAATGAAAACTTTTATTGAATTGGAGGCCAAGACTCTGAGTACAAGCCAAGAAGTGCAAGCAACTATCTAAACAAATTAAATGACAGGACCATTGCAATCTGACATGCCACCTGCCAAATCAATTTAGGATAGATGGATTTCATGGATCATTGTGTGCGTGAGGCTGCAGTTTTAGGAGATGTTGGTTTTTTGAAAAATAAATATTACAGATGGTGTTGTATTAAATGATTATCTTCCTCGGTGGAGAGAGAGAGAGAGAGAGAGAGGAACTATGGTGTATGTAGAGAGGGCGGACGAGGGAGCTAAGGAGAAGAATTTGTGTTGAAAAGGGGTGGGAGAAGTCATACTTTTGTTAGTTTTAAATGTTTTAATTAAAGAGAATTCACATAAATATCGTTGAACTTAACAGAAATAGACGTGGGTGATACATTGCAACACTTTATAAAGTTTAGGTAGTTAATAGTAAAAATTAAAAGTTCACGTAGTAATCATGCACATGCCTATAAGTTCAGGTAATATTTATGTAAGTTTCTTTTTATTACAATTATGTATCTATCGCACTATACATGTTGTAAAACAAATTGTAAAATTGTTCTCACCAAAGAGCGTTGCATTATTAGTACATTGCATCAAAGAAACCCCTTTTGCAGTTTGTATTTTAGGGCACACTACCAAACCTTACACTCCAAGGCGCACACACTCTTAGTCTTGTGTTTACCAGAACATGAAGATCTTCAACTTTAATAGCCAAAACCCAATTAAGAGAAAAATATGCCAAGAAACACAAACATGTATTGCAAAACAAAACTTCAAATCAAAACCCATCAAAATAACTATTATAAGAAGAAAGAACTTGTACATTTAGATTGATGTCAATGAACAAAAAGTGGTCTTCAACCAACCATCCCCTCAATCACAATGTTAAATAAGAGAATTAGACCCCATTGCATTGATCAAACACTAGCTTATCAAAACTAATTAAAAAAGTTAAAAAAAACCTAACTGAATTAGTTAAACCCAATTTCCACTAATCTTACCACCAATACTACTACTATCAGTCATTATTAATTTTTATGAATCAACTACTTCCCTCAAATAATTTGCCTACACTTTCGCTATCGGCACAAAGCAGCTTTTTGACCTCAAAAGAGCGGGTCAGCAACCCAACCCCTTTTTTGGGCAAGTTCAAAGTCCGTTGCAAAAGCTGCATCGTCGATATCAATTCCTCAACAGACTTCACTGGAGGGCTCGACAACCGAAACTCCTCATGGAAACTGGCGTGCCGTTTCATCACCTCCTCGTTGCTAAGGCCTCTATGCGACCTCGAGTTCTCGTCCTTGATCTCCTCCGCACAAAGTTCTCAAATCCAATGGCCAAGATGCCTCTCTTTTCACTGTAGCTATGTACTCTGGCGTGCATTCCTCCGTCAACTCGCAGTAGTAGCACTTCACCAACTCCTTTTCCACCTATGATTGAGCTGTACTTGGACTCCCTGACTGCGACGCCTTCATAGCCAAAATTCGAGAGAAGGAAAAAAAAAAAAAAAAAAAAAAAAAAAAAAGGGAAAGAAGTAGATATATAATTTTTAGTGTTTAATTTGTCTTAAACCCTAATTAACAGCTGTGAAATTTGAAATTTGAACCAATTTTGTTTAATTGACATTACATAGACTTTATATCGGCGACACAAATATCTCAAAACCTGATTTCTTTATTTCTATTGTTGTTGTTGTTGTTTTTTTTTGTTTTTTTTTTGGTAATGAAATAAGTTTTTTGATTGCTCTTATATAGAGCTCTTTCGAAGCCTAAACATGGAATTTTTGTGTTGGTTTGGAATTTAGATTTCCCAAATCCGTAATCATTGCCTTCTTTGGGGGCGCTGTGATTTTGTTTCCCATTTTTTCTTTTTCTTTTAGCTAAGTTTCAAACAAGTTTCTCTGCACTTTTGGATTTTGGCTTCAGATCGTGACACATGTATTGTTTCGATTAGGTGCAGGTGGTTGCTTCTATACGGGCCCAATAAATTGATTTCTCTCATTAATTGGTGATTAATTAAAAAAATCACTTTTTTCGTGTGGGATTTAATTATATTTTCATTATTTTCCTTCAATTTTCAGAATAACGTTAAAAATATATATTTCTTAAACTACTTATAAAATGTTTTTTTAATTAATTGTTGTACAATCAATATTCTAAACTATCCTAAATTAATCTAATTTACGGGGAAAAGAAATTTGAACTTGAGTGCAATAGGATATACTCACTGTCCATACTAATTGGGCTAACCATCTCCAATAGTAGTAGCAAATTAAACTCTTCAACTTAAAGTTTGTTGACCTATGTGGCTAATTGAAAATGTTTGTTTGCTACTTTAATAATTTGTACCTTAATAGACTCTTCATTTCAATTAAGGGAGATTCACTATTATACCTAATATAGGAGCCCAAATTATATTTAAAAAATATATATAAAATGGACTTTAGAAACACACCCAAAGCCCATTTATAATATAACAAAGAGGCTTCTAACTTCTTATAAATTACAAAACTGCCATCGATTTCTTAAAACAAGCCTAAGCCGAAAACCTCGTTAAAAAAATCCAAAAAACTCAATAGGGCATCAAAGTAATTTAATAATCAAAATTAAATTCAATAGGGTCAGCTGCCATTTTTTGAGTTTTTTTGGGTTTGTTTATAGAATTGAAATGGTGTAGGGTTGATTTATATTATTAGTGCTAAAAATGGGTATATGAATAAATATATATTTAATTAATGCAATATTATGACAATAAAAAATATGAAAAATGTGAAGAAAGTCTATGTATTTATTATTTGAAAAGAAAAAAATTGTAGGTTTTTATAATCTTCAATGTAGGTTTTGTTGTTCCAAAGCAAAATGAAATGTTTTAAAGAGTCAAGGTCAACTTGTTAGTCCTTAAGAGAGAGAAAGAGGTTGCAACTTTAATGTCTTAGTTTGACAAGTTTGGAGTAAGTTTTGGTGATGTGTCTCGCCTATTTTAACATTTCAAAGTTGTTGAAGAGGCTGTTGGAGATGCTCTAATCCTAAAATGACGAGACATTTTAAGTTTTAAGTATGTGATTGTTTCACGTGTTAAGATAATTATGAAAGAGAAACGTATATGTTGTGAACCGTTTCACTTTCTATTCATATACATAAATACATAAATAATTTGTTTATTTATTCATGTCTAGTCAAAATATACAAGCCGTGTACATCAAAAGTTCATTTCATTAAACTTGAAATATTCTTTTTTGGACAAGATTTGACAACATATTTAGTATGATACATTAAGTGGCGGTTCTACAGCAAGGGCAGGGTAGGCAGCTGCCTACCCAAAATTTTTCATTAAAAAAAAACCCTATATGTAAGCAAAGCTATTCCTACCCATTCTATGTAATTGTGTGAACCTATGCCTACTCAAACTTAAGAGCAACCCACATATTATATGGCCCAGTCAAACTTAAAAAAAGAAAAATGGGGCAAGCAATATAAGTAAGCAGCCAATTCCCCTTCGGCTGTGCAATAGTCGACAGTCCCAAATCATTATCTTTTGCAGCTTCTTCTCGAGTATGGACATTCTCTGTTGGTAGCATTTTCTGATATCTAAGGCCAATAAGTATTCTTCTATTGGGTTTTTCCTAAAATAAATGTATGCATCTTAAGTTTTTAAATAGTTTAATTTAGTTTTAGATTTAAATAGTTTAGTTTTTTGTTGCATTGCATTAATTTGTTTTTTTAGTTTTTTTTTGTTAAGTTTTATATATGAGGGTAAATCTCATTACGCTCTCCCCCGACTAAGTGTATCTTTTTATTTTTATGAATTAAATTCATTCGTACCGTCAAGTTTTTAAGGTAAATTTTGCCTACCTGATTTTTGAATCCTGGATCTGCCATTGGATACATTGTGAATCGGCCCATCCAAAGTTTTCACAGGCAAATCAATTTTTTTTTTTTTTTTTTTTTTTTTTTTTTTTTCCCCTATGTCCCAAGAGAGAGAATAAATGCTAGTTAGATTGAGTGGACTGTGGGACGCTTGTGACATAATAATATTTGGCAGTGGGGAAATTGAGAGCTCTGTCTCTGAAACCATTTTGACTCTCATTTAATTTTCTTTGCTCCAAATGGTCCAGGTCCAACAGCATGACACGTTAGGGTAAGGCCCAAGATAATTTATCGTGGAATTAGAATTAGATGTGTTGGAATATTCCAAAGCTTTCCAATATTCTTATGTAAATCCCATAAATATATAATTCTATTATCTATTTATAAAAAATAAAAAGAAGATAATTAAAAGATCCGCACCAACAATTAAATAAGGCATTTGGGTAAAGCAAATGAGTTATTCATTTATTTATTTATGGATGTATTTGGGTTTGTTTGCACTTGTCCCTTCTTATTATTTTGCATGTACTTTCGGTAATTAAAAGTGACACAAGTGCCCCCACTATTAATTTCATGTGGATAGTAATTAATTTTATACCGGACCTAGAAAAGAAAAAAAATTTATACATCTTATATATATATTGTGTATTTACTCTGCTAAATCCTATGTAATATCGAAAAGTTAAACTTTGCGGGATAATTTGTAAGATATAAAAATAGTTAAATATTATTTTTAAAATTTCAAGAGATTTTATGAAAACACCAAAAATCTCAAAAAATGTTAGTGTAAATAACTCAGTATTATTTGATGTGGACAATAAAGATATACAAGTTTCACTAGTAAATTAAATATGTCTAAAACAAGACATCAAAAGAAGGGAGACATTGATTTGTGGTTATCCTTTTGGTTAAAAATGTGTGTTAGTTTTCATTTCTTTATTGAGCCAGGGTAAATGGTTTAATTAATCAAGTAACCCATATCGAAAATTCCCTTCATAATGTTTTTTCAATTTTTTTTCTCTATTTTTTTTTACTAAAAAAAATATAGAAAACATAAAATTGCCAAGCAGATAACAAGGGGTTGGTGGAAAATTTGGTATTTTGATTATTGCATGTATTTATTGGACTTTATAAATTTATAATATCGGTTTTGATGTTATAATAAAATAGAAAAATACTTGGATCCCAACCCATTTTCCCAAACATGACGGTAATAATAAATAAATCGATATTAAAATATTCAGCTAAAAAAGTTGTGCTCATCCTCCCCGAATCCCTATTACGTCAAATAAATCTTTATATTAAAAATATATTAATTAATTAAGTAAACAAAATAATGCGTAGAATTTGGACAGAGATAGATAGAGAGGAGAGAGGAGAGAGGAGAGAGGAGAGAGGGGTCAAATCGAGTGGCGAAGGGGTTGGGTTGTCTTTTACATTTTTGTTTTTGTGGTGCTCGTATTAGGCTGAGGGTTTCGAACAAAAACACACACAACACACAGAGACCAGAGAGAAGAAAGAGAGACGAGATATAGAGAGCCCTGAAAGCTCAAGATAATACTGGAGATACAACTCTCTGAGCTTAATACAAAAGCCCCAATCGTCGATTATCTTCTTCTTCCTTTACCTACTCTCTTCTTTTAAGCTCTGCTAATTTCAGCCGATGGATCCCTTCGATTTGATACGAAAAGGTACACCCTTGCTACTTCATTCAATCGGATCTTTCACTTCCTCTGTTAAATTTTGCAGCTTTATTGTTTGCTTTGTTATCTTCATTTCTGGGTTGTTTTGAATTTTTTAAACTTTGTGATTATTGACGTTGAATTTATTGAGATCTATTGAATTCGATTGCTTAGCTAATTGGGGATTTGGTTTTGGTGTGTACTTCGAGTTGGTTTTTCTTTATTGTTTGTTTTTTAATCCTCGATTTTATCAAGATTTTGTTGTGGAAATGGGTGGTTGGTGTTCAAATCAGGTCTTAATTTAATGAGCTTTGAATATAATTGAAGTGGGAGATTTTATTTTGTGTTATCTTGTTTACTTTTGTTTGAAAATGAATCTTTATCTTTTTGTTATTTTAATCAGTATGTGAAATTGAATTTTGGGGTTTAAGCCTTTTCGTTTGAAGCTTTATCCTAATGACAGAATTGAGTCTTTGTTTGTCAACAGCTTTGTCGTTTGTCTATTTCTTATGCATAATTTGCACCTACAAATGCAATAAGCTTATCATCTTTTATTTCACGCACCATTTTTGACTTATACGGAATCCACTAAAATTATTACGTTTTAGCTAATTTCAGTAGTGAACGAATTATTTTAGTTTGTGTCTACAGAAGTGATGAATATATGTATGATTTTAATACTTTTTTTTTAATTATAAAAAATGTATATTTTGTTTTCCGTTTTTGCTATTATTTTCTGTTGGTTTATAGCTAGAAATCTTTTTGCACTGATTGGATGGACACACTGAATTGTGAGTGGGTTAGTCGTGAATGGAGGTTTTTGGTCAATGGACTAATTATAGCACTCCATGAACGGTTTTGCAGGGTTTGGTTGAAGCTTAATGAAAAACAAGTTCTTCTTTCATTCAAAGCTGGTCTAGTTATTTCCATCTTAGTAAATAATGAGCTTGCCCAAGAAAGGAACCTTTACTAATGACACAAAACTAAGCACCGCAAACAAGGCAACTGCCTTGAATCCAAATGCAGCAGAGTTTGTTCCTTTTTCCCTCAGATCTCCGTCATCTGGAAGCACCAGCACAGGTCAGGCTGCAACCAAGTTTTCTTCCACTGGAACATTTGGAAAAGCAGTACTAGATCGAACAGAGTCTTCTGCATCAAATAATTCCGATGAAGAGGCCCACCAATATTGGCGTCACCAGCTCCCTGATGATATTACTCCTGACTTTAAGGTCATGGGAGAAGTTGAGTCACAAGGCCTTGGGAATCTCTCTTTGGCGGGTTTGTCCTTACATGATGATGGTGAAGCAACACAGTTTCCTGCCTCTACAGGCAGTGGATACTTATTAAACGAGTCACATATTAATGGTAATAACTTTTCTGAAAAGTTAAGAGCTTCTGCACCCCCCTTTGGGGATGATCTTTCCTCCGCCAGTTTCTTGCATATGTCACCTAAGCCTTGGGATAAGCAAATTGTGAACAGTAATCAGCTTATTAGCAATGGTCAGGAGGGGTCTCCATATGATGGATTTTCTAGACAGGGGTTCATGAATGATATGTTCAGTGAGCATGCAGTTGTCGACGATACTGATATTAACCCAGCTGAGTTTTTGGCTTCACAGTTCCCTGGATTTTCTGCTCAGAGCCTTGCCGAAGTTTACTTTGCCAATGGTTGTGACTTAAACCTGACTATTGAGATGTTGACTCAGTTGGAGGTATGCTTAATTTATTTATTTATAAAAATAAATAAATATCAGTTTCATTACTGTGAATTGGGGTGTGTGATGGTACGTATTTGTTTTGGTTGTAGCTTCAAGTTGATGGTGGTTTTAATGAGAATCTGAACTCAAAGACTGTGTCAGCTCCTGATCTTAGTTCAATGGACTTCCCTGCACTTACACCAACAGATGGTCAGCATAGTCATCCAAAATATGGAGATGATGATCTCCAGCAAAGTGGCAATCCTTATCGATCTTCTGACAAGGACAACATGCTTTTTTTCAAGTCTAGCTCATCCATTCCATCTAGAGGTGCAATAGATTTTGCTTCAGCTGTCAGGAAATTGGCAGCGCAGGATTCTGGTGGATGGAAGTTTGAGAGAAATGGTTCTCCCGAAGCCGCTATTGGCTCAAGCAGACGTTCCCATCTTTTGCCTAGCACTTACAATACTGGGCATGGAAGAGGCATCTACAGTGATAGGTCGCAGAATCGTGGTTCAGCTCGGACTGCTCCTGTTTGGCTTGAAACTGGAGATGCTGTTGGTAATGTTCCTTAGTCAACCAAATTACTTCTGTTTATGTCCAATCAATTTGGGCATGCCTTCTCGATTTATATTTTCTTTAATATTGTTGAGATGACAGCAAATATGTATTCTGATGTGCGGGATGAAGCTCGTGACCATGCACGCCTACGTAATGCATATTTTGAGCAGGTTAGTCCTCAAGTTTGTGAAGTGGTCTTTCTGTTAAACGTCAGCCCTTTTTTCAATATATTTCTTACTTTATGTCAACAGTAAATCCTCAAAATTGACTAAAAGTTGAGTTGGTGAAGCATGTGGACATCTCGGTAGATTTAATTTTCAAGCATGATTGACTCTATCGAGTTGACCAGCAATGTTGTTTGGCCTAGTTTTGATGTTAACAATGAAAAGGAATATAAATCGTCAAGGAAACAAACTGCAGTGGCACATGGCGGGTGTGCACATTCCATTGGTTTGAAACGTGCGTGATTTTAACCAATAGGTATTTGTAGGAGTGTTTTTCCTACATAATATTGCTATAACGGCGTGCTGAATGCTGAGCCACATAACGACTTGTGGGTTCGCTCCAATCCTCACCACTAATTTTCCACCTAAGGTGGCTGTGAAATCAAATTTACCCTATTTGTTTCTCTTTAAAAACAGGCACGGCAAGCATACCTTATTGGAAACAAGGCTCTGGCGAAGGAGCTGAGTGTTAAAGGACAGCTGCACAACATGCATATGAAGGAAGCTCATGGAAAAGCTCAAGAATCTATATATCGTCAGAGGTTTGTTGTCCCCAAGTATTTTTGGAATCTTGTTTTACCATTTTTGAGTCATACTTCTGTTCATCTTCCAAGGGGATGGCTTCATGTTGTCTTTTGGAAAGGCATTTGTGTGTTATGTCTTTTGGAAAGGCATTTGTCTGTTCCACTATGAAATTTTGATTTTCCCGTGTTGCTTGAAATTCTCTCTCTCTAACAAATGCACAGAGACTCATGATAAGTTGATTTTATTATGCAATGATAAGATTGGATTTTCTTTTCCTCCTCTGCCTATCAGAAATCCATTTTATCTTGAAGGGAATAAATGAAGCTAATTTGACTGATTAGCATCTTTTGAACTTAGAGAGATTTGATCTGAGAATGCTTCTAGATAATCATTGCTGCTGCCTACTGTTCTGGGCATGTCTGAGACAACGTATGTTGAACAGAGTGCTACGTACTCATACAGAGCATGAGTTTGATAACAGACTCAACACTGTTGATTAATTTTGGCATTTGCCCCCGATAACCTTAGTTTCCATGTTTTTGTTTTCTTTCTTTGATAACTTATTTGTTGCCTTTCTTCTTGTCTCTACTCTTTCTAAAAACACAGGAACCCAGTTGCTCCAGAGATGCAGGGCAATGGGAGAGCACAAGAGAGGATGATAGACCTGCACGGGCTGCACGTAAGTGAAGCCCTTCATGTCCTGAAGCATGAGCTGAGCGTGTTGAGGAGCACTGCCAGAGCAGGAGAGCCGGGTCTTCTGGTTTATATTTGTGTTGGAACCGGCCACCACACCAGGGGTTCTCGCACACCAGCAAGGCTCCCCGTTGCTGTACAGCGATACCTTCTTGAAGAAGAAGGCCTTGACTACACTGAGCCACAGCCAGGGCTGCTTCGAATTCTGTTATACTGAGCCAGGAAGATGACAGTGTGAGGTATATGAGGTTTTTAACACAGCACAGTCCGTGAAGGCATAGTCATCATAGCCATTCTTGTACCTGTATATGGGAAGAAATCAAGTTTAGTCCAAGTCTGAAAAAAGTAAAAAAAAAAGAAGAGAAGTATCGGGAAGTTAGAGGGAAAAACACCCAAAAGAGAAAAGGGAACAAGTGTATCGTTAAGTTCGACCAGTTGACCGAGGGATTACATTTCAGTAGCCAAAAATGATCCTTAATTAGAAGTTGTCTTGCAGCTTTTTTTCTTTTCTTTTTTTGTTAATTTTGTACCTTAAATTTTATTTCTTTTTAAATTCCTTTTTTGATTCTCAGATGTAACTGATAGAATTGAATTACATGATAGAACAATTCACCTTGCCAATTACACCCTGAGCCAATCAGATGTAACTTCATGTTTTAGAGATCTCTTAGCTATGATCTTGATCAGGCAGACTATACTATAACACAGTTAACTGGAGACCCTCTTGTCCAATTCTTACTTTTTTGGCTTATTGTTCAACTCAACCAACTTTATGAATCATGTTACAATTAACAATCAAGAAGCAATGGTCTAAAGTAGTCTAATCTATGAGGAGAGGGAGCTCGAAGTCGAATGCAATGAGAGGGAGCTCGAAGCTGAATGCAACGAGGTGATTACGCTCCTCCGGCCAACTGGCCTAAATCTTTCCAACATTTTCAAGGTTGAATCTGATCCTGGGCAATTTGTACAGCTTGAAAAATTTAACCAAGCACAACATGCCTCCTAAAATGAAATAAATACTTGAGATTTTAAACTCATACTGAAACCGGTCATTATGTGTTCCGAATCCGGAGTACAAGTACCAGAATCTTGAGTTTTGGAGGGAAAAGCAGACAATGCACCCAAGAAATAATAATGCAGTTGCAAGCCAACCTCCGACCCAAATCCATTTTCCTCTCTACCAACAACACTTCATACTCACGAACTCTTTTCCCTCTCTTCAACTTCTCATCTCTCTCCTATCCCATCTCTAAGTCTACCCATATCTCACCATCTTCGTCCTCATCTTCTTCCTCTTCTCAATGGTTCTCCGTCATCCGCACCGCAATTACCACCATGGATTTGCAGCTCGGCAAGCGTGTGCATGCGCTTATCATAACCTCCGGCAACGACCCCGATCATTTTTTGACCAACAACCTCATTACCATGTACTCCAAATGCAGGTCGCTTTCATGCGCACGCCGCCTGTTCGATAAAACGCCCGGCCGGGACCTTGTCACCTGGAACTCCATTCTAGCAGCCTACGCGCAAGCAGCGGGCTCTGATGTTGACAACGTTCAAGAGGGTCTTACCCTTTTCCGCAGTCTTCGCGAGTCTGTCGTTTTTACCAGTAGACTCACTTTGGCGCCCGTTTTAAAGCTGTGCTTGCTCTCAGGGAATGTATGGGCTTCGGAGGCTGTTCATGGTTATGCTGTTAAAATTGGATTGGAATGGGATGAGTTTGTTTCTGGTGCACTTGTGAATATATATTCCAAACTCGGACGGATTAAAGAGGCTCGTGCATTGTTTGATGGGATGGAGGAAAGGGATGTGGTGTTGTGGAATACAATGCTCAAGGCCTATATGGAGATTGGTCTTGAGAAAGAAGGACTTTCTCTCTTCTCTGCGTTTCACCGGAGTGGATTACGTCCTGATGATGTCAGTGTGCGTTCTGTTCTTAGTGGGATTGACAAATTTTATTTTTATGAAGGCAAGAGGAACATGGAGCAGGTTCAAGCATACGCAGTGAAATTGTTTCGTTACGATGATATTAAATTGTTCAGTTACGAAGTTACCAAGTCAGACATATATTCGTGGAACAAGACGTTGTCCGATTATGTTCAAGCTGGTGAAAATTGGGCTGCTATAGACTGTTTTAGAAATACGGTTAGATCAAAAGTAGAGTTTGACAGTGTGACATTAGTTGTTATTCTATCTGCAGTTGCAGGTGTAAGTGGTTTGGAGTTGGGAAAACAGATTCACAGTGCTGCTTTGAGATCAGGGTTTGATTCTGTTGTTTCTGTTGCAAATAGCCTTATCAACGTGTATTCAAAGGCTCGTTCTGTTTATTCTGCGAGAAAAGTGTTCAATAACATGAAAGAAGCGGACTTAATTAGTTGGAACTCAATGATATCATGTTGTGTGCAAAGTGGTTTAGGAGAGGAATCGGTGATTTTATTTATAGGCATATTACGTAATGGTCTAAGACCTGATCAATTTACTACCGCAAGTGTTTTAAGGGCTTGCTCCTCACTTGAAGGAGGGTTGTATGTCAGTAAACAGATTCATGTTCATGCTATAAAATCTGGTATTGTCACTAACCGTTTTGTTTCAACGGCTCTTATTGATGTTTATTCTAGAAGTGGAAAGATGGAGGAGGCGGAGATCCTTTTTGAAAACAAACGTAAATTCAACCTGGCATCTTGGAATGCAATGATGTTTGGGTACATAATGAGTAATGACAGTCACAAAGCATTGAAACTTATGAGGATGATGCATGAAAGTGGACAGAGGGCAGATGAAATTACTTTGGCGACTGTGGCTAAGGCCACTAGTAGCCTGGTAGCTTTGAAACCAGGGAAGCAAATTCATGCTCATGCCATAAAAACAGGGTTTTCTTCAGATCTCTTTGTTAATAGCGGTATTCTAGATATGTATATTAAATGTGGAGACATGCGAAGTGCACATGGAATTTTCAATGGCATCCCTGCACCTGATGATGTTGCATGGACAACTATGATCTCAGGCTGCGTAGAAAATGGAGATGAAGGGCGCTCTCTTTATATATACCATCAGATGAGGCAGTCGGGAGTTCAGCCTGATGAGTATACCTTTGCTACCCTTGTCAAAGCCAGCTCTTGTCTGACAGCATTGGAACAAGGGAAACAGATACATGCAGATGTCATAAAGTTGGATTGTTCCTTGGACCCTTTTGTTGCGACATCACTTGTTGACATGTATGCTAAGTGTGGTAACATAGAAGATGCGTATTGTTTATTCAGAAGGATGGATGTTAGGAACATTGCCCTGTGGAATGCCATGTTGGTGGGTTTAGCTCAGCATGGAAATGCTGAAGAAGCACTAAATCTTTTCAGAGTCATGAAATCTAAGAACGTTGAGCCTGATAGAGTTACTTTCATTGGAGTCCTTTCAGCATGTAGCCATTCTGGTTTAGTTTCTGAAGCTTATGAGCATTTTTCTTCAATGCAAAAGGATTACGGTGTTGAACCTGAGATTGAGCATTACTCTTGCCTAGTGGATGCCCTTGGCCGTGCAGGGCGTGTTCAAGAGGCAGAAAAGCTGATAGCATCAATGCCCTTTGAAGCTTCTGCTTCAATGTACGGAGCCCTGCTTGGTGCTTGCAGGATTAAAGGGGACACAGAAACCGGAAAACGAGTAGCAGCACAGCTCTTGGCCATGGAGCCATCTGACTCATCCGCCTACGTTCTTTTATCCAACATCTATGCTGCTGCCAACCAGTGGGATGTTGTGAGTGATGCTAGAACAATGATGAAGAGGCAGAAGGTAAAGAAAGAACCAGGTTTCAGCTGGATAAATGTAAAGAACAAGGTACATTTGTTCGTGGTAAACGATAAATCCCATCCACAAGCTGATCAGATACATGACGAGGTGGAGGACTTGATGAAACAGATCGGCGAAGAAGGGTACGTCCCGGATAGAGGGTTTGCACTGGTTGATATTGAAGAAGAGGAGAAAGAGCGTTATCTCTAGTACCACAGTGAGAAGCTAGCCATAGCTTATGGACTGATAAGCACTCCTTCATCTGCCACCATTCGGGTGATTAAAAACCTTAGAGTTTGTGGAGATTGCCATAATGCAGTCAAATACATATCAAAGGTTTTTCAACGAGAAATTGTATTGAGAGATGCAAATCGCTTCCATCGTTTCAGGGATGGAAGCTGCTCTTGGGGTGATTATTGGGGACATTTTTCAATTCCTTGCAATAGCATTGGGTTATAAATATCATTTACAAATTTCAACCAATATTAAAATAAATTACTTTTGTATTTATTCCTAGTGAATTTTGTTTCCAGTTTATATTGGTTAATTTAGAATATCGTTTTGTAATATTGGGGAAATCAAACTTAGAATTCCGATTACAAAAATAAATACTCTTAATTACTTAAGCTACAAGCCCTTATTACAATATACAATATCACTTTGTTGCCCTAGTATTTTTTTTAAGGCTTTTTTTATCACAAAATGTCCTTGACGTTTACGAAACTATCATATTGCATCCTTAAAGTTTTTTTGTAACACTTATGGTCCCTGACATTAATATGGGTGCTCTTAAATAGCCATTTTGTCAAAAAACTGTTAAATTCAAGGATATAATCGTCAAATCAATCCAAAATTATATATATATATATATTTTCTATGGTCCAGATTTAAAACAAATTTTAATTACAACTCTCTCTTACCGTCCCACTGGACCATCCTCCTCCCCCATCGCCTCTCTCTCTCTCTCTCTCTCTCTCTCTGAGAACTACATCCTCTCACACTCCCTCCCTTACCCACAGACCCAGAGCCCTCCTCCACAAACACCATATCCAACAATGATGGTAAAAACCCACCTTCACCTGGCTTTTTTTTAAAATTTATATATACAAGAATCAGACTAAAAAACAAACAAGATTTCAAACTCAGCGAATCTCACATTTTTCTCCGGGTTCGAAGCTCCTCACTATCCTCACCTCCATCTCTCTGTCCTCACCAGCACCTCTTTGTGTTTGAAACCCTCTCTGTGGGAAGATGAGCTTAATAAAGCAAGATGACAAAAAAAGAAAAAAAGAATTCAACTTCTGGGTCTGGGTCATACTTTGGCTTGGGGACGTTTTTTTATTGGACCAATTCCTGAGAGTCATATTCAACAATCACTCTAGTGGCATCCAAGTTTGCAATCAACTTGAACCCTTTGATGCCAAGAAATGAAGGTGGGGTTTTTGGTCTGTGAGAGAGAGAGATAGCGATGGGGGAGGGAGGATGGTGCAGTGGGTTGGTGAGTGAGAGAGAGAGGCGATGCAGAAGAACTCAGCCAAAACCATTATATAAAAAAATAACAGAAGGAAAAGTTATGCTATTGCCATGGATGAAAGTAACAGGGAAGAGAGTGTTGTGGAAGGAGAAGCTTGGGTAGTGGACTGGAGATGGAGAAGTGCAAGAGAAGAGAGAGAGATGGAAGGAAAAAAATAAAAATAAAAAAGAAGGAAAATTTCAGCAATACAGATGGGGGAAGAAATGAGAACGGAGGGAGGAAGATCATTTCCAGCAGTTAGTACTAGGGCAGCTACTATTCACATGGATAGTGGCTGCCCTAGCCCTTAGTAAAGTGTGTTTTCTGCAGTTGTCATGGCCAATACTTTTTATTTTTTTATTTTTTTTTCGCAACTTTGTTTACTTAAACAATTAATTTAGATAATATTTTCAGATAAGATTTTATTTTATTACTTGTATTGGTTGGTATTTATAGAAAAAAAAAGTTTAAGGATTTGGTGTTAAAAGTGAAGAGTATTGGTTGGTATTTATAGACACTGACGGACCTAAAATTTTTTTAGCGGAGGTGCAATATTGACTAAGTATGAAAAATGGTTTTTCGGAATAATCATTTTCTTAAGATAATTTTTGGCGGCTTTTATTCCTTACACATCAAATAAGAAAACTTGATTTTATGAGATTTTAGTAAGAACTATATATTGACTTAATGAGCCATCATTTTTAGCCTAAATAATATTTTGCACTAAAACCGATTTTTCATATTTTGATTTGGTGAGAATTTGATTTTCTAGTATTTTTATTTGAATCCAAATGAGGGGTACTTCCTTATTTACATTGTAAACTTAAGTAAATGGAGTAATATAAAAATAAATGAAAGGAAAAGGACAAAGACATTTACTTGGAAATAAGGTATAGAAAAAAAAAGGGGTACTTTTTTGGTATTTTTTTTCCCTTTTTTTTCATTTTTTTATTGCACAAAAATTTGCTGCCGTTGGATTGCTAGAAAAGATTTGATCGGAGAGCCCAGCGCGCACCACGTGGACGAGGGCACTATAGCGGCGTGTTCAAATTTTTTTTAACTGTTGGCGCGTGCACGCGCCAATGTTAAAAAAATTTTGAGAGCCCACGCTGACGTCAGCTCAGCTCGCAGGCTGGAGCTTGGGCTAGCCCAGTTCGCTAGGTCCCACTCCTTGCCCGAGCAAAATTTTGTTGCTGGAAACACCATTTTGGGCTTCCCCCCCCTCCCCAACCCTCCCCTTTGTCCCATTTTTGGAAGTGCTTGAAGAGAGGGAGGAATGAGGAGAGTAAGAGGGATGGTTTAAAAACAAAATTCCCGTAACAAGTCTACATGTCTCTAGATTTATTTATATATATTATATAATTTTGGATTGATTTGAAGATTATATCCTTGAATTTAATAGTTTTTTTGGATGGAGTGACTATTTAAGAGCACTCATGTTAACATTAGAGACCATGAGTGATACAAAAAAACTTTAAAGATGCAATTTGATAGTTTCGCAAATGTCAATGACATTTTGTGATAAAAAGCCTTTTTTTTTAAAGACGTTTTATTTATTTATTTGTTAGGTTTATTGTTTCCACGATTTTAATTCCGAACACTGTGGGACCCTTCTTCAGAAAGCGATTTCGTTGGTAAACAGAAAGCGGTATTGTCAACTAAAGCGCGGGTGGGACTCCGCTAACTCGAGGAACGACGTCGTCTAGGCAAAGCCGCACAACATAATTGGGAGGTGGTCGTAGCGGCGTTTCTAGCTTGTGGCAGGCTAGGCTCATGCCCGGCCCAAATTTTTGTTAAAAAATTCTCACTTAAATTAAGCATATACAAACAAACCTGTACAAACCTTTTTTCTTTCTTTTCCTTCCCTCTTCTCTCCTCTCTCTCCTTTTTCATTTCTTTTCCTTCTCTCCTCTCCCTTTTTTTTTCCTTCTCTCATATCTCCTCTCTCCTTTCTGTTTTTTTTCCGTTCTTTTCCTTCTATTTTCTCTTCCTTTTTTCTTCCTTTCCCTTCTCTCTTTTTGTTTAAAAAAATAAAAATAAAATTACCTACACCACTTATAATAATAATAATTATTATTTTTTGTCTCACACAAACCCCAAGCCTGCCTATATATATATATATTGTCTCTCACAAAGACAAATTGTTTTAGAAATTTTAGAAATTAGTTTTTGTATTTGTAGATATAAATGCATTTGAGGGTAAAACTTATTACGTTCCCCCTCACTATGTGTATCTTTTTATGTTTATTAATGAAATTCACTCTTATCTATATAAATTTTATCCGGTCAGCTTTCGAATCCTGAAACCGCCACTGCACACTACGTTACTGCTGGCGGGCTTTAGAAACCCACACAATAAATAACTGCGCTACTACTTACTAAGCTCTCTCAGGCTCTCAGCGTCACCGTCTCCTCTCCTCTGAAGCTTTTTCTGAGAAGAAAAAAAAAGACCGTTGCTACTACTCTCTCTCTCTCAACTGGCGAAGACCCAGCGATAGGGTTCACGCTTCTTGTGCTCTTCACCTTCGTCTTCTCCTCTTCATTCGCTTCTCGCTTTCACAATCTGCAACGGGCATTCGCCAGAGGAAAGGCCAGAATCCTCTGAAACGGAGCTTCGGCGACATGGCCTCTGAGCCGCTTGATCATGTCGCTGCTCAGGATCAACAATCATCCCCGATTTCCAATGACTTCAACCCCAGCGGGTCTCTCTCTATCTATATCTCTTTAATGATTTTTTTTTTGACAATGTGGATTTATTGGGTGTGAATAATTTAAGTGTCTGTGTTTTTAGGTATGAGACAAATGTTTATGAGGTTGCGAAGATGAGGAACACCATAGCAGTGGTGGAGACAGGTTCTGGGAAGGATATGGTAGCTGCGATGCTCATCAATGACATTGGTCAAGCTATAAAGTCAAGTGGTGCCAAAAAATTGATTGTATTTTTGACTCCAACTGTTCATTTAGTTCATCAGGTATTCTTTTTCTAATTTAGTAAATTTGTTCCTTATATGTGTGTGTGTATATATATATATATATATATATTTCCTTTTTTGTTATTTTGCTTCCTCAAAATTTCACCATTCATGACTCATCATCATTCTACATTTTTTTAACATTTTTTTATATAATAAAAATTCCTAAGAATATTTGTGTGGGCATTCCTCAGTTTTTCTTTAAATGCTTTTTATTTTTATTTTTAATTTATAGTTCTCCTAGGAGCAATCATGCAATGTGGCTAATTGATAGTCTCAAAAATTGTTGAAATGAAATGGTTTTTGTGTGTGCAGCAATTTGAGGTCGTTAAAGTAAACACAAACTTTAAAGTGGAAGAGTATTACGGAGCTAAGGGGGTTGATTCATGGACTATGGAGTGCTGGGAAAAGGAAACAAATGAGCATGATGTAAGTTTCCTTCTTTTAAAGTTGAACAATAACTGTGATGATTTGTTTAATGAGGGTATCAGTTCATGCTTCTGTTTGAGGCTATAAGCGGTATTTTCACCACTCCTTTTGGAAAGAAACTTGAGTTTTCCTTAAGAAGTCAGGTAGATCCAGCTTGCCACAATTCCTTTTTTCTGGTCCTTTCGTTGGTAGCCTTTCTAAATGATTATTGAGTTTTTACTTGTTTTACCCACTGTTGATGCTTCATTTATTTGTTTTCTAGCAGAGCGAGAACCTTATTATAATATGAAGAAAAC